GTGCCGAGACGGCGTGCGGTTTTAGTCGGTTCGTGTCCGACATCCCACCGATGGGTGGTGTCCGAGGGGATTTCCGCACGGAAAAAAAAGGGTGGAACATAAAGTCAATATTTTTTTGGTAAAATATATTTAATTAATCAAAGTATGCACTGTTGTTATCTATGCACTTTTGCCATCTCATAGGTAGTTCATTGATCCCTTTACTAACAAAACCATTGGGGCGAGAATCAATAAACTCTTTGCAGGCGGTTTGGACTGCCTCCTGATTCCTTGTAAGAAATTGTCCAAATTTCGGAAAAAATGGTTATCTGTTGCAGCAAAGTCCGCGGAGTACGGTGGATGTCGCTCCGAATTGTAGCTCATCTAACTTAGTGGTTGTTGGTTGTGCAGTGTGTGGTTTTGCGTTGTCGTGAAACAGCCGTGGCCTAGAGCGATTGACCAATCTCGGTTGTTTAGCAGTTAGTTCTTCCTTCATGGTTTGCAGTTGCTGACAATAGATATCTGCCGTAATCGTTTCGTTTGACCAGATTATAGAAAGCTGTAGTGAACGACACCGGCGCTAGTCCACCAAACACTCACAAGTAACTTTTCTGGGTCAATTTTCGTTTAGGGCAGGACTTGGGTGGGTCTCCAGGGTTCAGCCATTGCGACGAGCGCTTCCGATTATCGTACAGTATCCACATTTATCACAAGTAATGATTCGATTTAAAATCCCTTCCTTATTGTGTCGGTTGAGCAAAGTAACACAGCAGTCGATGCGTGTTTGCAAGTTCGATTCACTCAATTCATGAGGTACCCATCGTTCAAGTTTTTTTAATTTCCCGATTTGCTTCAAAGTAGATTAATACAGCAGCTATTTCTGAAGTGCTTTAATTCTTCATTTTCCACTTTTGTCTCCGGCCGTCCACGGGGTTGGTTCTGAAGGTCGAAATTTAAAGGACGAAAACGTTGAACCCAAAAACTTACCGTGCTTTCTTTTGCGACACCAGCGCCATACACATCATTAATCCTTCGAGCTATTTCTGCAGCACTGGTGCCACGGTAGAACTCGTACTCGTAAATATACCGATATTTCGTGTTTTCCATTGTGCGGTAATAAGCGACGTCAAAGAAAAAAATAATGAGGAAAAAAACAAATGAATGACTGTTTTCAAAACTCAAATGTACCAGCTAAATGAATTTGTAAATTTGAATTTGGAATTCTTAACCAGAGAGGAAAGTGGTCAGTACGACAAAACGCTAATTTCATATGTAAATATATTTACCTAATATTATAAATGTGAAAGTGAGTTTTTTTGTTTGTTATGCTTTTACCTCTAAACCACTAAATCGATTTTAATTTTGTTTTCACCAGACGAAAGCTACATTATCAGGGAGTAACATAGGTTATTTTTTACCGCGATAATCTATATACATATATATTACATATATATACGCTATAATAATGCAAGCTGACCCCGCAATTTCCCGCCTGTGACGTATGAGTGTATGAGTAATCGACGTAGGTATGATATGGAAATTATTCCATAAACATAATAATTTATAAAGTAGATAAAAATTGACAAAAAAAAAATACAGAAAATACAGAATAAAAAAAATAATAATTATAATTTGAAATATAAATACAGAATGAAACATAAATTAAGTTAAATTAGTCTGATCTCTAATCAAGTCGGTACACTTGGGACAAGTAGAATTTTGTTTGATATATTTTTTGACAAACCTACCGTAATGTATAACCACGTGTTTCTCTTCTTTAATAATATTGTAAGGTAAGGTACAGGTATAGGTAAATAAGTTTCATCTAAGTGGTATTAAAAGATCTCATTATTGAATTGTTGTTTGTAATTTTTGCATTTTGTGTATTTTATTGACGTGACAACATCTTATAATTCGATGGAGCCGGCTGCACGCACGAAAAAACATGACTCATGCGGCGTTACCTCGCTCTGAGGCGTTCCATTTAAGGCGTGAAGTGCAAGCGAGAGCGCGGAACGAGTGACAAAGAGGCACAATCGGCCTCCGCGTTCGGCAGCGTTCGACATCTGTCTCCCTCCTACTTGAGTGAGCGATGCGTCCGCGTAGACAGCTGCTACTCGTATACAATAATACATTTTTGAAAAATGCAACCATTCCATCAGTATTTTCTTATGACGTTGTCACGTTCAACTATCGTCAGTAAACCGACTTTACAGACAACCGATTTTTTTTGTATATTTAGTATGAAAGCGTTTTGGTTGTACATACTGCAAGCTCATATTTTATGAATAAATGAAAATGAAAACAATGAAGTATGTGTTGATCAATATATGTGTGATCAATATTTGTGTCGTCCACAAATAGTTGTAACGATTCAAGCATTAAAGTCGGACCACTGTGCGTCACTGCACGGCACGGCACGACGCGTCAAAATATTCTTTAAGTCATTTTGTATAATGTAAGTCGCTTTAAAGCGGCGCTGCATTGGGCGTCGGCGCCTGGAGAATATTTTGACGCGCAGCGCCGCTCAAATACGGTCCTACCTTTAATTGGAAGTATTCTTTAGGTCCAGAGGAACGCAGAAAATAAACGCAAAGACAGCAAAGACAGAAATTTATAAAATTTTAGTGTTTCAATGTTTGAGAAGCATACCGCGACACGGGAATCATTCAATTAATCTTTTTAAATAAATCTAACGATATTGACATAATATTCTATATCCTGTAAACACTTGTTGTACCAGCCCGTGTCATTTAACCCACTGATTGTATAAACTTAAGGTGATTCTAATTAATTAACACGTTAGATATTTTATATATGGTATACAATACAAGTAGTTAATTAATAGAAATAAGACATTACTAATTATTTTCTTGGTATTCTGAGCGGCAATAAAACTGTATAATGGACAGTCTAGTCAAGTGGTGTGAATGCTTAGACTACAAATCTTCTTGACATAAATATACAGTACTGATTTGCGAGATTATCAATGTCATTTAAAATTCTGTTGAATTGAACTGACTGTGTCAAACAATCATAATCTTTAATGAAATCTTTCTTCAATCGAATCTTTAAACGGTCTTACTGACCGTTTAAAGATTCGATTATTTTTTTTAAACGGTTTTTCTAATTAATTAACACGTTAGATATTTTATGTATGGTATACAATACCAGCAGGTAGTTAATTAATAGAAATAAGACATAACTAATTATTTTCTTGGTATTGTGAGCGGCAATAAAACTGTATAATGGACAGCCTAGTCAAGTGGTGTGAATGCTTAGACTACAAATCTTCTTGACATAAATATACAGTACTGATTTGCGAGATTATCAATGTCATTTAAAATTCTGTTGAATTGAACTGACTGTGTCAAACAATCATAATCTTTAATGAAATCATCAAGATTTCATTAAAGATTATGATTGTTTGACACAGTCACAGACAAATCTTTCTTCAATCGAATCTTTAAACGGTCTTACTGACCGTTTAAAGATTCGATTGAAGAAAGATTTCATTAAAGATTATGATTGTTTGACACAGTCAGTTCAATTCAACAGAATTTTAAATAAGTAAATTAATAAGTAAGCCATTGTTTTATTGAAAAATATTATTCCGTGTGGTGACGGATTAGGAATACGGAGTGTCACCACTCCTATTCTCCGCAAGGAAGCAAACTACGCAGGACAAAAACGCTGCAAAAATCTTGAAACAAACCCTATACCAACCCGTCTGACCAGCGGGGTATAGTAGGCCAAAACCTCTTTTCTAAGTCCTAGCCTCCTTCTATGTCCAGTAGTGCACTATTAAAGGCGGTTGATGATAATGACTGACAGTCAGCCTATGTCCACGGTCAGTGTAACCTGGTCGAAACATCAGTAATTTCAAAGGTATGTACTTAATACCTATCGTGAGCGCGTTAATGTCCGTAAACATAATTGTAAATGGAAGTTTAAAAGACAGTATAATCAAAATCTTTGAACGTGAACAGATATATAACTTCGATTTCATGCGTTCGTTCAAGTCTTCAATTCAGAGAAGAATTCAGAGATCATACGGGTTAGTATTCCATTCTAAATAAAAAAAATGATTCCAAATCGATTCATTTATTTTGACTGCATGGTGGCATAGTGGTTTAAGCAGTCACCTCGCCTGCGCTTCCTATTGCGCTGCTGTTGTGGGTTGGATCTTCACATGGGACAACACTTTGTGTGATCCACAAATTGTTGTTCTGAGTCTGGGTGTTCTTTGGGTCTGTTCCGTATATGCTTGTAAAGTCTTCAGCGACACAGGATATATCCTGATGTATGAAACAAAAAAAAAACTAATTAAGGATCTCCCTATTTTTGAAGTCGATAAGGAAGATCTTTGGTAAACTATGGTAGTGGTGTATGTGTGATCCACAAATTGTTGTTCTGAGTCTGGGTGTTCTTTGTGTCCGTTTCATGTACGAGTATGTTTGTAAAGTCCCTCGGGACATAGTAATATATATTCCTAATGCAGGACGTGTCTTGTATTAAAAATAAAAAAAATATGTAATTATATACATGTGTTTATATGTTAAGTTTTAAAAAACGGGCTTTCGGACCTAAGGCTCATAATCTTTTAAATATAAATCCTTAAATTGAGGCACACTTGCCCGATTATTATTCTTGTTTGCCCATAGGCACTCACTATTACATTTGGACCCCCTTAATATAGCCTTTGCATATGGTCGCCTGTAAGAGATTGCCTCAGAGCAATAAAGCCACTTATTTGTATTGTTTACAAAGCTAGATTTTAATTCTCAAATGTAATGTCCTTCAGAGCACAATGTCTAGGGCTTGAAGTTGAATATAAATTAAATTCTTACTTTCGCACCACGGGTTGGGGGTCAAAGAAAGTAAGTAAGTATAGTAAGAACGTTTTTTTGTGTGTATTTCTAACTTCTATGCATCGCCGTAAATATTCGGTATCTTCCTAATAATCAAGGTACAAGGTGATTACCACTATTACTGATCCACACTGTCTTCCATCTTTTTAGTATGCGTACCAATCTTCATCTACGGGACAGCCACGGGATGGATCTCTCCAAACAAGGCCTTACTCATGGGCAACGATTCACCGTCAGGCTCACCTATATCTGAGGAAGAAGTTTCATGGATGGCGTCCGTCATTTTCATACTGGCGCCTGTCTCTGTGTTTATATATGGAGTAGCAACTGACAAATTTGGACGGAAAAAGACGTTGTTGTGTGTAGCAGTACCTATGACGGTGAGCAAAATAAAATGGTTTGGAAATGTTATGTGGATATATTTTTTCGATAAGTTCGAGCTCGCACTCTGGACACTCTTGCAGATTCATTACAACTTTAAAGTTTCATATATTATTAATATATAGGTATAGTACTTACCTAGTTACATATACATACATACTAATAATAGTATGTATGTGTATGTATTTAGTAGTTAAAAAAAATGTTTCAATTCGTTCGTTTTGAGTTAAGGTTTATTTAAAGTAGTTTTGCATATTAATTAGAAATTGTATTTTACAGTATATCTGCGTTGCATTCAAATACACTTCCTGATTTAGTACGTATGTACGAGTATGTATGTATATTTATCTCATTGTATCTGTCTAACTTCTCAATAATTCTCTCTTATTTTACACATCAGTGTCTAGTGCTAGTCACACATTTCAGCATCATCCTAAGGTAGACTGAGAGAAGTTGCCTATGGCACTAAGTCCGCCATTGCACAAATACGAGTTTACGGTGTCCCACGGTGCGAGAGAGATCCTTGCAAACAGAGGCCCTCACTGTCTCTATCTTAATTCTCGCATATGCGCAGCCCGTATACCTATATATATGCATATGCAGTGAGAGAGAGATAGAGAGGGCCTCTGCGTGCAGCGATCTCTCTCGCACCGTGGGTCACCTCACAGCATTGGGCTAGGTGGGTTATATTATCTCTATGCTTATTACCTGACAGACAAGCAATGACAAGAAAATAATGACACAAATGTTGTCTAAAAGCTTGTGATCGTTATCTAATTGTATAGCTGCATCTCGTTTGCGCATGTTTACAGTTAACTTAGCTATGAAAGACCATCAAGTAACTATCGGTCGGTTTACACCCGATTGTAAAACAGAAAATGTGTATTCGCTTGATAAACAGCAAGATAATCATTTATTCCCAAGTTAGTTGTCTGACAGTATAACTGAGGATTGAAAAACCGGCCCCTTATTCAACGTAAGTTACTGGGATCCAAAATACTCATATACTTCAGAAAGTGATCGTAAGAGAATAACCAAATATTATGATTAGCCGCAGAACCGATAACCGTTGGGGAAAACGAGTTCTTGAATGGAGACCGCGTCTCGGCAAACGTAGTGTAGGACGCCCACAGGCCAGGTGGAGTGACGATTTGCGCAAGATGGCTGGCAGGAGCTGGATGCGAGAAGCCCAAAATCGATCTAAGTGGCGTGCAATGGGAGAGGCCTATGTCCAGCAGTGGACTGCGATAGGCTGATGATGATGATGATGATGATGATTAAAAAACTATTAGATGGAAAATGTTTTTACATGAATTTTATATTTTTCTTACTAATGGAGTATTTTATTCTCTATCTACATAGAACATGTCAGCAATAGAAATAAGTATCTCAATTTATTGTTAGTCATTTTTTTGACGGGCCTGTTAGTCTAGTGGTCTGCTAAGCTGGAGATCGTGGGTTCGATTTCCACCCAGGACAAATATTGTATGATGAGCACGATCATTTGTTCTGTGTCTGGGTGTAATTTATCTTTATTAAATATGTATTTAGAAATATATAAGTATGTTCATCAGCAGGCTGGTTACCATAGTACAGGCTCTGCTTTCTTTGGGACCAGAATGATGTGTGAGAGACGTGCGAAGCTATTAATATTACTATTAATCACAGAATAAAACACTTTTTGATGAAATTTAATTTTTTTATTTAGTTATTATAAAAATAATAAACAAAACTACAATATCTATTACTAAAAACGGTATCTATTACAAAAGTTAATTTTAGTGTCATTTTTAACCAACAGCTCGGATGGGCAATCAAGCTAATTTCCGCTCATCCAATCGCATTGATTGGAGCTCGAGCACTGATTGGATTCGGTATGGGCGGTGGCTTCGTGGTTTGTCCCCTCTATGTGAAAGAGATCAGCGAAGACAGCATCAGGGGAATGACGGGGACTTTTGTTGTATTTTCTCAGGTGAGTGACGGTTTTTTTGTAGCTTAATTATTTTTTATTTGATTGACCCGACCGATCTTTATGTCTACTAGAAATACTTAGATATTGGTCATATTATATTGTTGTAGTTATAAAAGCCTGTTACGAGAGTTAGAATAGAATGGTTCACTTTAGGAAACGAAAACGGTAATGCCTCTTCATTATCTATTCGACGACCGAGTGGCGTAGTGGTTTGTGTAACGGACTGCTGTGCCAAAGGTCGCGGGTTCGATTCCCGCTCAAGTCAAGCATTTGTGTGCATGAACATTTAATGTTTGACTTGGTCTGGGTGTTTCTATGTATTCTATGTATGTATTTACAAAAAAAAAGTATATATGTATTTATATCAGTTGTCTAGTACCCATAGTACAAGCTCTGCTTAGTTTGGGACTAGATGGCATTGTGTGAATGTGGTGGAATTTATTTATTTATTTATTGGCCTAATGACGATATAAACTGGTTTGTTCTAAAGCATGTATAAAAAATACAGACACTTATGAATGCGCTCCAGCAAGATTTTCGAGCTTTTCGAGATAGGGCTTGGCTATCTCGAAAAGCTCAAGAAATGTGCTGCCTGTCGCTGTGTTTATCTATGGCGTAGCAACTGACCATTTTGGCATTACCTATGACGGTGAAAAAAAAATGTATAAGCTTGACAATATTATGGAGATATAATTTTAGCTGTGTATAAAAATTGACTTACTACAGGATAGTTGTAGTAGGTTGGATTCTAGGCAGGGATTAAAATGAGGAAAAAACGAATAATACTGTAAATGGCAAATATTATAGCCAGGACTATAAACAAACATACATCATGGTGGCGGTAGAAATAACGATTAGATCTTCGGGTCAGAAACCTAAATCCTGAAATTAGTTTATCACTATAGAGTCTATAGAGTCCGTGTTTTGACGGATTAAGAATACGGAATGTCACCACCCCTATTCATCCCGTGGGTGTCGTAAGAGCCGACTAAGGGAGCAAACTACGCAGGACAACAGCACTGCAAAGGGAAGGAAAACTTGAAACAAACCCTATACCAACACGTCTGGCCAGCGTGGTATAGTAGCCCAAAACCTCCTTTCTAAAGAGAGTCCTATGTCAAGCAGAGGACTGCCACAAGCTGTTGTTGATGATATAATATTGTACTATATTTTCTTATTTTAAACTCCACAATTCTTCACTGGCTTTATTATTATTGTCAACTTATAATTTTATTATCTTGTCCTCAGACGTTGGGAAATCTGTTGGTGTTCATCCTCGGAGATTTACTGTCGTATCACACGGTACTATGGATCCTGTTAGCGATTCCCGTAATCCACTTCTGTATAATATTGGGAATGCCTGAAACACCTTCCTACTTGATTAAGCGTGGAAAGAATGAGGTACGTACATTTCTGTGAAGGGTAGACAGGTAGGGTTTAAGATAGGATGTGTGCGGCCTTGAGGCAAAACTAATACAAAAACAGTTTTTACTTGATGCCCAGTTAATGTCCGTTTATTTATTTATTTATAACTTTATGCACTTTTGTACATCGGCGGACTTAATGCTCAAGGCATTCTCTTCCAGTCAACCGTTAGGTAGTGTAGAAATCGTGAAAGGTAAGAGTAAGTAAGGTAAGTAAGGAAAGTATATGACCACGGTCTTTTCGAATAATCCTAGTCTCGTTTTACCATTCGACAATTGACTTCACGGAGGGCGCAGTGGTTTAAGCGGTCGCCACACCGCTTCCTACTACGCTGAGTGTGGTGTCCCCACATGGGACGACACTTTATGTGATCGACAAATTGTCGTTCTTAGTCTGGTTGTTCTTTGTGTTCATTTCATGTATGTTTGTAAAGACCCATCCGACACAGGATATATTCGTAGTGAGGGAGTTGGCTTTAAAAAAAAAGTAGAAAATGTGATCCCTATTCCTTACCCTAGCTCTGTTGCCCCATTTATTTTCCTACCTCAATTTATCTTTTATCTTTGTCACGCTCGAAGACGATTTCACTCCAAAGAAATTCTGATGTCGTAAAGGCCCTATAAGAAACTGAAGACTATCAAATAAAAGGGCAGAAAAATTATGATGATGTTAATTACTTATACAATAATAGGTTAATTAGTTCGTTGATGATGTAACTGGACTGCACGAGTTAAGGCGGTCACTTCACCGTTTACTACTGCGCTGAGTGTTGTGGGTTCGATCCCCACATGGGACAACACTTTGTTTTTTATATAATAAAAAAACTTCCAAACGAAAAAGATTTTGTATAGGATATTTTGTTTTTTTCGTTTACACTGGCTACTTCTTCTTATCTAAATTAACAGAGTATTTAAAAAAATATATAAAAAGGCATTTATTTATAAATCTACACATATTAAAACATACAAAAATTATTAAACAAAGATATATTAGCATGCTAAGTATGTTGAACCGTTTATGAGTTGCGATATCACAAGTGAGGCAGTATTTCGAACTTAACGAACAGTAATTCAGAATGCTTACACGTCTACTGGGCCCTACCTCCAAAATACAATTTACATAGTTTTTTTTCGGACCATCTACAACAAGTAGACGACCCCCCCCCCCCGTGTGGGAACCCCATGTTCCCTCTGCTCCCTGGAAGCGAGCGCGCTTTGCAACGCGCTCGCCGCTACCCCGGCCTGCTTGTGATAGGGAATGCACATAGCCCTAAATCCTCCTCTACGTATGCAAAAATATATTCCTAATGAACAGAAATATTGCTTACAATCGAAGTATTTATTTATCAATAACATTTGTTAGTCATTTGTTTCTTTTTGTGTTGTAACAAAAATGAGGATAATAAACGTCGCGAAGCTAATATAATCTTCAGTTTTCTACTAGATTCTAGACACTTCTACGTATTCAAATATACTCGTACGTATGTATTCTCAGAATCAATCTTTAGTATCAATATTTGTTAAGATCTGAGTTTTTAAGACTCATATACTTGTAAAGGATAAACTGGGCTGGTTTTGGACCAGGACGGGTTGTCACCGATGGAAAGGTCACTTACCCCTTCTTTAAAGTGACCTTTACTTTCAGACCTCTCATACATATGTACATTTTTTAGGTTGACATATGTTAAGCCGCAGATGTGGTATCAGAAGGTATGTGTGGTATCATATCACTCGCGAAAGTTTTTATTCCAAATTTCAGGACTATATCACTCTATCTCTCTTTATATCTCTATATATATAAAAATGAATTGCTGTTCGTTAGTCTCGCTAAAACTCGAGAACGGCTGGACCGATTTGGCTAATTTTGGTCTTGAATTATTTGTGAAAGTCCAGAGAAGGTTTAAAAGGTGAATAAATATGAAAATGCTTGATGTTTTTTTAATTCCGAGCATTTTTGAATTATTTTCATAAAAAAGGATTCCTTTTGTTTGTTTATTTTATACAAAAGTTTAAGTCTTTTATTTATCAATTGAGGCAGTACGAAGTCTGCCGGGTCAGCTAGTATTTCAATAAAATTATATATTTATATAAAACAAGAAAAAATATTACACATGGTGCTACACAAAGAAATTGACAAATTTTTAGAAGCGTTAAATATACCTGCCCGACTTTAGCTTGAAAGAAAAAAGGATTTTGAAAATGTTTTATTTGAAAAAGTTTAGTCTAGTATAGGTACATCTTTCTAAACAACATAATTATTACGAATTTAGGTAAATTTCAATGATTATAATTTTTTATTTGCCTACACAGACACATTCAAAAAGCTCTGGAAATTCCATGAACATCCTTGTTAAAGCTATTGCTAATTGGAACGTAACGCTAAATACCATTACATTTTTAAGAACATTTCTTTATCTTCTCTGGAAAACGCCACAGTTGCCTATACAACAGCACCGTACTTTGAGGAATTTGACTATGTTGTATTCCGTTCTCTACTCACCCAGTTCCAATATCTCTGCTCTAACGTGACAGAAATTTTGGCTCTTCTAATAACCTTCTCCTTCTTTGTCCTCCTCATAACTTGTTCATTCTTCCTTTGCCATACAAGCTGAAATCTCTGGAACGCACTCCCACTCGAAATCAGGATGTCTACTAATCCATTCACTTTTAAGCTTAAAATTCACAAGCTCGGTACAGATTTTTTGACGAAATCATCCCTATTCATCCCATGGGTGTCGTAAGAGCCGACCAAGGGAGCAAACTACTATGTAAATATAAATAAATTATGGACGAGTTATTTTTACCAAGCATCTGAAAAATTTAGATACTTTTAGCATGGAAATGTATGTGCAGTGTTTTTCATAAAAGTATTTTCTTACAGGAAGCAGCCAAGGTTCTAGGTATGCTCCGATCTTTACCAGCTAACGACAACTCTATTGCTGAAGAGGTAGACAGGCTGATGATCGAACAAAATACCAGTGAACCCAAGTTCTCTCCGAAAATGTTATGTGAGTATTACATTTGTTTGCTTAGTTATACCTGTGTTTAGAAAAGTAGGATATTTAAAAAAGCGGGTAGTTGATTTACAATAGGTTCGAGCGGTGTACCGCTTCACACAAAAGTTTTGAAATCGGTCGGATATACACGCGGTGTCATAAACCAAAATTAAGGAAAGAATTTGTATTGTACGAATGCGCGTGGTGTCGCAGTGCTGTATTATTTTGTGTTACGGTTACTGGCTAGTTGTACTGGACTAGAGAATACGACCGTGACCAGTGGAGTACCGGATGCTGGTTACGGAAATACGGGTTGGGACTACACTGGTAACGTAGTTTATCAATATATTTAAATACAACACATTTAGATAGGGAACATTTACACATCGCAGGTTTCCGAACAGAAGACGGATCAGCCTCACTGGTAAGTGGCTAAATTCTTCTCTTGCTCCGCGCTACCGCGGACAGTTTGGGGTCGGGGGAGAATCCCAAACAACCTGTCTATTCTTCGATACTTATATTATAAATTTGAAAGTAAGTTTGTTTGTTTGTTACAATTGTGCGCTTTCAGTACTTAACGGGCCTATTCGTCTAGTGGTTATTAACCCCGACTGGTATACCAGAGGTCGTGAATTCGATGCCATCATCCTCATCATCAACAGCCTTTAATGGTCCACTGCTGGACATAAGCCTCTCCTTAGAAAGAAGGTTTTGGCCTACTATACCACGCTGGCCAGACGGGTTGGTATAGGGTTTGTGTCAGGTTTTCCTTCTCTCTGCAGTGCTATTGTCCTGCGTATTTCACTCCCTTAGTCGGCTCTTACGACACCTACGGGATGAATAGGGGCGGTGACACTCTGTATTCTTAATCCGTCACCACACGGACACATTATCGTACACATAATTAATTTCATTATCATTTTTATTAATGCAGTCTAAACTCGTTGTAAAGAACTGACAGTCCCTTCCATAGCTAATTCAATTAAGATAAGGAAATTGCACAGCCCAAGGTCAAAGGGAGGCCTTGTAAGGAGGAAGATAGCATCCTTGAGCAGTTTTAATGTTTATAAATCACTTAATTATGTTTTTCCTTATGTTATTGATGCCATGAGGGGTTTTCCTTAGTGATTCATACTCAGAAAGTCATACTGCGATATTACTTAAAAATACTTAAAAAAATAAATATAAATAAACCAAATGTGCTAATCCATGAATCAACTTTGGAGGTTTGACAAGTGATCGGCATAGACACAACAAAGAGTTGATTTTCTGACGTCTATGGTTACTGATTAAATTTTCGGTTACAATACGATATAATCACATTGTAGTCAACGTTGAATGTTTAATACTTTACTACGAAAATACCTTTTATGAGAGTTCCGAGATCGAGAGTTAATCGGTACTGAATTGTGACCGAACTTTTATAACGAGAATTGGCCTTCAGACTGCTAATAAACATAGGTACTTATACAGGGTTACTGGGTAAGTCAACCTCAATACTTTAAGGGCGCCCCAAGTTTAAAATAAGGACTTTAAATATCTCAGAATACATAAGTGTACCTTTACAGAATTTTACCGACAAGTCGAGAACCCCACGTAATTGTAGCTTTATTTATACGAGTATGTACAAAAGCTTGGAGTGGCCGTTCTCAAAAACGAATTTTATAATATCTTTTCAGTCGCTGACAAAACCGCAGTTAAAGCTTTCTGGGTGACCCTAATTGTGAATATGGCCAGAGAGTTCTGCGGCTGTATATCAGTCTTGGTTTACGCCAGCCACATCTTTGCTGAGGCCGGCAAAGACCCAAACACCAGCATCACCCTATCGCCGAACAAACAGTCTATATTGCTTGCCGTTGTCCAGGTCCTGGGACCGCTTTTGGCGAGTCAACTTGTTGACAGAGCGGGTAGAAAGGTGAGACATGCTATGGGTACTCGTATAAGGTCGAGAAGGTTATTTTAGGCTAAAGCCTATGGATTTAAGTTATTGTAAAGTAGACACAAGGTATTGATTATATTTTCGTTAAGGGATTTCAACGATTTTTGGTAACGACGTTTTTGGTTGATTCAAATGAAGTGTACGTACAACGTACATTACAAAGAGTTACTAAGTACTAATTGTATATACTAAAAAAAATCTGGACAAGTGCAAGTCTGACTCTCCCGCCGAGGGTTCCGTACAAATTTGTAGCTACATATTATACGTGTTATATATTGTTCATGAATAGTCCCGAAATTCTGTTTCCAAAACCTATAATTATTTATATTATTGTGTTTTATGATTGAAATTGTACCTCGAACATTAATTACGTACTTTAATAAAGACTATATTTTTTTATGATTTAATTACAAATGTATAGTTTTCAGATTTTTCCCTGTACTTGTAGCATAAGACGGTGTTACTTGCCAAATTTCATAGTTCTAGGTGAACGCGTAATACCCTATAAATTTTGATTCCCTTGAGAGTTTCGAAATATGCGTTTTTGCTGCATCAACTGCCGTATCTTTTTTACGTTAATTAAGAAGTATGATTTTTTCACAGCTTCAAGGGACTGTAGACCTGAGAATATGGTTTTAATTTCAACTCGATACCTCCACGCGTTACCGAGACAAAGGGTATTGACAGACAGGCAGGAACCCTAAAAACATCTAGTACTTCAGAAGTTTCATATTGGTATATATGAAACTTTTGGACTACTAGATGGTTTTTTAATTTAGTGAATAATACTCGTAAAATCATCAGGTCATCACCTGTGCCTCCTATGTGTATGTAAATAAGCCAAGAACTTTATTCTAGATCCTTGACTTTGTTTCAGCGTTTCTTATCAAGGCTAGGAATGTAAAATGTCAGCGCTATCTAGTTTTACTGGAAGAAATAAACGTGTAAGTGTCTGGAACAATGTATTAAAGTAGTAAAATTTGTTTTTATTCTTAATATTCCAGCCTCTGCTAGCGGTGACGAGTGTGATAGCTGGCTTCAGTATGTGTCTCCTTGGCGTCTGGTTCTACCTCCAGAGCATCCAAGTGTTTTTGCCCGGCTGGGTGCCCATCGTAGCAATGTGTGTTAGCATCTTCGCTGATGGTTTAGGTCTACAGCCGCTACCTTATGTTATCATGACTGAAATGTTCAGTTTTAAAGTAAGTTGAAGTGAATTCAAACTTTATACTCAAAATCATCGAATAAACCCAATTGTTAAACATAAAAAAAATCGTCCCTATATTTGAACGTTTTATGTATCTACATAATATTACACTCCTACCACCCATCCGTGTGGTGGCGGGTTGAGAATACGGAGTGTCACCACCCCTATTTATCCCATGGGTGTCGTAAGAGCCGACTAAGGGAACAAATTATGCAGATCATAAACAGCACTGCAAAGAGAAGTTGCTGCAAAGTAGGTGTAAGAACATTTATTTATCCCACTAAGTTATAGGTAACACATACGTAGTTCTCTAAAATAGGTTTTGGACTACTATACCTACATTTAGAATACAAACCTCCTTTCTAAGGGCAGGCCTACGTCCAGCAGTAGAGTGTTGGTGGTGGTGGTATACTCCTATATACTTATCCTTTACACAAAAAAGTCCCAATGCAGTCTAAAAATGATTTACAGCAGCTTTGATAGCTTAATTAACAGCAAAGAACAAAAAAAAAAATAAGTTGGTGGCTTAACTGGCTTTCTTTCTTTCACAGCTTCGAGGAACTGTAGCGACCCTCATCATGGCGATTTCCCTCGCCACCGACTTCGCTCTCCTCAAGCTTTTCGCACCACTCAACTCCTGGTTAGGCTACCATGTCACCTTCTGGATGTTCAGTGGTGTATGTCTCATAAATGTATTCTACATTATATTCTATGTGCCAGAGACAAAAATGCGAACGCTAGAAGATATCTACGCAGACTTAGAAGGAAGAAAACGGGAGAAAAAAGAAGTAAAAATTGTTGAAACTAATTATCTTTAAAAATGTTGATGATTAGCTGTTGCTAATGGCTAGATATTTTTGAAGGGTACTTACTATTTAACTGAAAATCAAAAATCCTTTTTTATATAACAAAATGGCAATCCTAATCAAAATACTGATTACATAGCAAAATAGTTAAAAATGTTATTATTTTAGCAACAATTTAAATTCGTGACGCATCGCTTTGGTTTAAAAAGTGGAACTTTTATAACCAAACCTACTAGTCTGGATACAGCTCGTTTCTAAGCGATTAGTTTATTGTAGGGTCGTAGTTCTAACCTTACCTACTTTTCTGCTCCCAGCTCGTTTCTGACGGGGTCGGCTTAAACTTTAAAAATAGGTTTTAAATTAACCACGCTGGCCAGACGGGTTGCAAAAATAGTTATTTTATTAAATGTGTGTATTACGTTTGTACATTGGGTAATTGTATGTGCAATCAGTAGGTAGGTATACTTGATATGAAAATAATATGTTTACGTACATTTAGCAACTTTTTTGTTGCCCATTTGAGGAAAAAATATAATACACTGTTGATGTATATTTTAGAAATATTTCTAGTACTAGTTACGTTAAACGATTTTATTGGTTTATTTGCAGTGCAATAATTTATTTGATGTTAAAATTATTTAATTGAATATAAATTGATGGTTGATAAGTTCTTTGATGTGCATTTAAAAATATCCTTTTTTTTATGTGAACGCCATTTTGAATTCCAATGTGGCGCACATAGCTGGCACTCGTGTTATGAGAAATAGGTTTGAAGGTTTGTAAATTAATGCATAGTTCGTAAGACATTAAATTTATAATAAGAACAAAAACTGGATGTCAGTAACACAAGTTATAGGTTAATATATATTTAGATGTGTGTGTAAAAGAAAAAACTACCAGCAATTATAATTTGTTTATGTTCAAAGATTATTTTATACTTTATTTGTAGTTTTACGCAAGGTTAGATAAGCTCTGGCTGGTTTTCGAATCTAGATATGTCAAAGCACGTAGGTATTTTGCGTTGGTTTAAATGACAACAATTCGGGGTAAATATCCGCTCCATAAGCGCAGGCCTGGGGGTGACTGGTAGGGCCGTCTGTCACCCTAGCAGAAGCAGGCCAAGGTGGCGGCGAGACGCGCTGCGGAGAGCGCGCGCACTTTCGGGAGCATAAAGGGATCATGGGGGTTCTCACAGAGGAGGGGGTCATCTACGCGCTGTTGATGGCCCGAGGTACGTCGGTTTACCAGGGATTTCCTTTCTAGGGTACACCTGATTCCCCGGCTACTAGTACCCAAAACGACGTGCGGTTTTTGGCCAGTTCAAGTCCGACATAACCACCCCACCGGTGGGTGGTATCCGAGGGGATTTCCGCACAAAAAAAGGGTAAATCTGTGAAGAAATCGATCTCGGAGCTTGTACTTAGTACCCCGTGTAAATCTATCACAGCAAGTCCGTTCTGTTTCTCACACGCTCTATTTTAATATAACAAGAATATAATATGATAATTGCTGATTACTTTTGGCAAGAAAGTGAGAAAATTTGTAAAATGGATGTGTCTAATGAGATATAGATACAGAAAAAATATTTTTTGTAACAGTATTTATAGCTGATTGTTATAAGTATGTCATTTAACTAAAAATAATGGTTGCTGTAAAATAAGGCAGGGAGTTTTGGTGTCCAAAACCTAAGAAAATTAGTTGTTGTAACTATTGTTTAATGGTTAAAATCTCATACAGAATCGATAAGAATATTTTCATGTACCAATGTTGCCATATCCATTATGTATTTAAGTCACGTTTTGTATATTTCTAGTCAGCAGTTACGATATTGTCTAATGTAATTCTGCTTAAATGACAATAGGTACATGGTTTACAACTCTACTTCCATTTTGTTTTATTTATCTATCAGTAGTCAGTTTCGCTTTTTAAAACCGATTTTACATAATAACAAGCAATAATACAGCGGGTATACTCGGAATATACTTACTCTGTCTTAGTTACATCTAGCAGAAAGAAGAATTATGACGTCTCTATTAAGGTCGTAGCCGACTAAAACGACTCCGCTCCCACCCAAATAAAGTATGAGTCAACTAAACATGATGTTAGTCCATATTTAAATGCTCAGTTCAGTTGGGTTGGAGCGGAGTCGTTTTAATTCAGCTACGACCTTTAATCCTTCTACTTCACGGGTGGCGTAGTAATTTAAGGTCACCTGTGGATATATTGCAGTTGTACTGTAACAAGAAAAAAGCCTTAGTCTCGCCGATCGGGCTAGTACCACTCTTCAATATCGACTATCTTGAATCGGGCCTACGGGCGTGAACTACTAGCCTGGTCAGAGTACCTTCTCTTGTGAGATAGCGTTTAGGTATTTTCTCGAGGCATAGGGTCATTTATCATAATTAAAACCAATTCTAAAATATTTTTGTAATGGAATTTGACGTTTGAAGTTCTGTGAATCAATTAATCTTGCATTTAAAGTGAATTTCACCAAATACCCTATTTTCATTAACAATTCGAATGCGTGTTGGTAGACGCGGGCGCATGTGTTGAAATGCGACCGCTGAAACCGTTCTTGAAATCATTATTTAAACTGATTATTGAGGATATGGGTCAACAACATTGAAATAAAACAAAAATACCAGTTTCAGAAGATTTACTTATCATAATAAATAACCAGCTTAGTTTACAAAAGCATTTTTTTTTACAATTTTCACTATAGTTTTATAAAAAAATATTATTTAGAACTCGGTTTTTGTAAGATTTTTTTTGTGATTTTTAAATTTATTTTAAAAATAATTTCAACTTAGTGTATCTGCGAGTTTCTCCTGTTTTTAAATTAAAAGTTACTTTTTATAGATTTACGTATGCTTTTTCGAATATCTCGCATGGGACCTAAGTTTTATTTACTTATAAAAAAGACTAGTAACGTACAACATTGTTTAAAACTATATTTATTATACATTGCTGAGGCATGGTCGTCGTACACTAGGGCGTAACTTACTTAATAAATAATGTATAGAAAAACAATACGATACATTAACACATCAGTTAAGGAAGCTTGATTATAGTTTCTCTTTTTTCTTTTCTCTTCGTTATTTTAATTCTTTTTCTTAATGCTTTTTGCCCTTCTGGAATTTATCACTCCTATCGTCATTCAATTAACTGATCCTGTAAATATAATACTGGGGACAGGAGTCACTTTAACTGCAGTATCAACTCTTTTATCCCACACGAAATTGACATGACCAACTGACGTGACCAAATGCCTTCCATCTCAGGGATTAGTGCAAGATTAACTTGTCTGAACGAACTTCCAGACATACATATTCTAGATACACAGGATGTTTTAAACTCACTGCAAGAGAAATCCTCAGGCATGCCAGAACCCCAGACCAGAGATGCGTACTATGATTATACAACAGAAGGTTATAATGACGATGAAATTCCCGCACAAATCTGTGATCCTCTCAAATGTCATGACATAATCGATTGTATGATTCTTAAAGATGAGTTGATGATGAATGATGATCCCCATTCTGAATATATCATTAACCTTGTTACTACAGTGAGCAAAATTAATATGACAGAGATCTCAGGTACAGATTGGGAATCCATCAAAGGTTGCATCTCTAATGCCTGTCATGGTGGCTATCTAAGTATCATAAACTGTATGAAAGGGATGACAACTATATACGGTCTTCAACATTCAAGAATGGCTCATGAAACTATAAAGAAACTTGGTGACATTGTTGATGATTTAAAGATAACAAAAGGACGCTGATCGAAGCTTCATCAATGATTTTACCAGTCTGATTAATTTACTCAATCGAAGTGTGTTGCAGATTGTATGGAGAAACTGGAATCAAAGACTCTTGAACTCTCCAGGCCAGCTACCACCCGTTCAATTGTTCCTATACATTCCCCAACAACAGATTCCTCCAGCCAGCGACAGATAGATATCCCTGTCAACATAAGTTTAATTCCTAATGCAACATTTAAATCTACTAAATTGAAAGTCCAAATTGCGGAAAATAACTCTATTGTGTTGAGTCCTGTTATAAACGAAGGAGTACTCTTGAGTATACTCGCCAGACTGAGAATACTTCCAGAGAAGCTGATAATGTTTCTTAACCTAGGTCATGAGAAATTAATATCAAGATTGGGAACCCACCCTGATTTAGTTGACAAGTTCAATTTGATCACTGATCCAGATAACAGAACAGCCTTTATGATTAAACATCTTGGGGACATTCCACCCACAGGGGGACAGCGGGTTAGGTCCTATGAAAATTAAGCTACACAGTATGCTTTGATTCTCTTAATCTCAATCTCTGAGTTTGGAAATTTGTAACCCCTTAATCCTGGTAATCAATCATTCTTATACATTATTAGATAGTTTTGTAAGCAATAGCACAAATCAATCGTACTCATATACATGGGTCTTTGTAGGAACATACAAGAGAACAGATAAGTCCAATATTATGACCAGACAATACATTCGGTGAGCGCATGAATATATAAAATAAACTTTCAATTAATATTCGTAAACATTACGTAGACTTTATTGCTTAACCACAAAGTTACACATATAATCATATTATTGGAAAAAAAATATTAAAAAATAGAAAAAATAAGAAAGATCATGAACAACACAATCGATTTATCAAGTCGATAATTGTCAAATCGATTTCGACCTAATTAGCCGATATCACGGGTCCGAGTCGAGATTGGAATTATTTTTCTAAACAGATTTTTTAAACTTGGCCGTTGTAGTCATTGCCCTAGTAATGTTTACGAATAACTATTTTAAACATTGTTCAGTACATTACATAAACGTATATTTTTAAATACGTACTAATACCCAAGCCACACATTACTAGTCTATTTTTACTAATTGTTTGTATAAGGATTGGGTCATTTAAGGCTATTGTGGTACTAAACCTATGATACGGCTACATTATTGAAAGTGTCCTTTTCATCTTTCTGTCTCAAATTTTATATTATAGGAATGTTACAACCTAGTGCACGACTACCTTTATTGGAAGAGTGGCGTACTAAATATATAAACATAAACCCAAATATAACACTTAGCTAAGGTATGTCAGATCACATATAGATAAATTATATAATTATAGATGAGTCAGTACCAGCCAACACTATGTTTGTAATATGCATTAAATTTATTTTAATCTATGGTCTTATCGTTAAGAGCCTCACAATTATTGGTGCAGTTGATTGCAGAACGGTGTCTATGGTCGCTAACATTAATATGGTACTTAGGAACCCATTTCCTAACAAGTAGCAGTGGCTGTGGGCAGGCCATATTAGCCGCAGAACCGACAACCGTTGAGGAAAACAAGTTCTTGAGTTGAGACCGCTTCTCGGCAAACGTAGTGTAGGACGCCCACAGGCCAGGTGGAGTGACGATTTGCGCGAGCTGGTTGGGAGAAGCCCACAATCGATCTAAGTGGCGTGCAATGGGAGAGGCCTATGTCCAGCAGTGGACTGCGATAGGCTAATGATGATGATTTTTGACAAATTTTTACTAAAGATATTTGCATTAATAGACATAATTTAATTCAATTCCTTAATATCATAAATTGCTTACAATATTTTTATCGAACACACAACAGATTATTCTAAATAATTTCTTTTAGAGGACACAATTTTAGGGACATCACGGATAATAATAATAATAACAATATAATATAGGATAGGATATATGAGACGATCTGCTAGCTCAAGTGTCAAGTGTCACGAATATTAAAGAGCGGTAGAAGGTAGCTTCATCGAGTAACAAAGAGCCCTGTAGGGCATCGCCGACATACAGGAAGAAGTACCTTAACATTTAAATTAAAAAGCAATTAAGGCGAAAAACGCAGCAAAGAAATCATTTCTTTGTTAACCCACGTTTTGTGATATGTTGCGTATAGCCAAGTATCGACCACGTTTACGCTCTAATAAGACGTTTAAACCAGAATTTATTGATTCTCTTAGACTGACGCACCCATATAGGTATAAGCATAGAGGGAACACAGATTACAGCTGCCTATTAGTGGAAGCGATACAGGCAACGAGAGACATGGATATCTCTGTCTCTATTTAGCTAAGCTGCGATTGGCTACTTATAAACCCTTCATATTCCCCAGTCAACCACATAGCTGACTAGAAAGAGATAGAGGCGTCTATCTATTATCCATCTCATTCGTTGCCTATATCGCAAGATAGGGGATCTTGTTCCCTCTATGCTTATATCTCTATGGACGCACCCGAACAAAAAGTTTAAACTTGACAATTTTGACGTCATGTGACTTGTCATTATAGATTTTGAAGTAAAAAATCCTGTAGCTTATTTACAAAATGCACATAAAACATTAAAAGCGTTATTAATAATAACATGTTAAGACAGCGGAGGCATAAAACACAACATAACATATATGGTGTTTAAAAATATATATATACGTAATATCTAAATTCTTCATACCCTCGTATGTAATGTCTAACAGAAATTTCTAGTCACTTGTCATCTTCTGCTCCTTGTTACTTTATAAGGCAGCAATGTGTATATGAATGTTTATTAATGATTAAACTGAACTATTTATCATTCTCATGTAGGGCGACTAATAATTACCATAATACATAGCGTTAATTATAAGTATGTAACGTAAAAGTATTAACTAAGTAGGCCAAAACCTCCTTTTTAAGAAGAGGCCTATGTCCAGCAGTGGACTATTAAAGGCTGTTGATGATGATGATGATGAATTATAAAAATAAACTATTTTTATTACCAGTAATTTTGTTGTATATGAATTTAAAGAAACTAGTTTTTAACTACTATTTAAGGTAGTTACAAATGCCAAGTTATGTTGTGTTGTTTTATATGTTTTATTCAATATAGTTCATAATAGTTGTTTTGTCAATGTGTTGTGACCTAAATTTTAATATTTGTACAATGATTGCCATAAACAAAATTGGATTATTTTTTAAAGTAAATAAATAGGGAGTTCAAACACTACATTGCCAGTAGCAAAGCAGTTAAGTGGAGTAAAGTATGAAACATACAGCGTTATTTTTCTTTCACTAAATCTTGTTACCCTATATGGTAAAATTCTTGTCCCGTAGGTAGGACTAAATTTATAGCAGGCATAATGTGGGTTTTATAATACGTCCCTGGTTACTCCTTCGCGATATATGCGTGGGCGATGTATTTGGTAAGTAATTAAAATAAAATTAAATAAAAATATATTTATTTCGTATTATTTTCATTATTACAATATGTGTTTATGTAGTATGTGATTACCAGTCACCCTTTATAAATGATTTTTGTCAATACTAATAATGAATATTATTATTTCATACAAAACAGAATAATGATTAACTATACTTTTGACGTAGGTATAGGAGAAAGTGTGAGCTAACGTTAATATAAACTTAATTTTGCTGTGATGGTCATCAAATATTTAAGAGATTTTTTAAATGATAAATAAAAACTGTTGCGATTATTTTGGTATACAATGATTTCAATACGAATCAGCGTTTGACGCGAAACGCCAAAAAAAAACACATTACGTAATTTTATACCTACAAAAATAACTATATGCGAATAAAACAAACACAGCAATGAGATCGCAAAAATAAAATACATTTTTTTTTAAATGAGTCGATGTGATTTACTTTAGCATTGAGTTGTATCCAGGCCGTGGCCTGGACCATCGTGAACATGGCCTGAATATCAAATAAACAGTTTCATTGAGAATTTCTAAAGCCAAAAGCCAGCAGGTAGCTTACCAATTTATACATTTGTGTTTACTTTAATAGTCGTCGTGATTTTTGAAGAAAACTATGCCCTTTTAAGCTAAAAAAAACCGGACCAAAGACCACTTGTAAAGATAAAAATATTCAATAACAACCTATAATTAACATTAGGAATCACTGAGATATAAAATAATTTATACCATTTTTACACTATTGCATAGCAACTTCAACAAGCATGTTCCCATACAACAGACAAACATACATTTTGATTTTTTTCATTAGACGATAGGATACCGTTAAGATGACGACTGGTTCCCACGTAAATAGACTTGGACGAATGTGGAAACTGGACTAAAATAAAATGGGTTTGCAATAGGCTTAGTGGAATTGTGTAATAATCGCCGTAGTGGCATCATCATCATTAATATTAAAGGTTGATGATGATGATGATGACACGGATATTGAATTGTAACTGTAGTGAGTTAAACTAAACAAATTAAGTCTATAGTCCATCCGTGTTAAGAAAATAATTAATATTAAATAAATAATATATATTTATTAACGCGAAAATAAATAATTATTAACACGAATGAACTATAGTTGAATATTTAGGTATATACAATGTTTTAAAATGTAATACATTCGGTACGAATAAGACAATATGTCAATCAATATAAGTACTTTTTAATGGCAATCTGATAATTATTACAAATTTGTCAAACAATGTCTTCTGATATATTCGAAACTAAAATTCAAAAGTACAATTCTTTGATTTATTAGTAATGATTTTGATCTTAAAACCAAGTAGTAAAGTCTGCCAACAGTAACGTATATAGATTACAATTATAAAACTATCATATCGGTATCCTAGCGTCTAATTTAAAAGCCTTATTTATTTCTAATTGATACCCAATAAATATCTGTTATCTTATAAAATTGAACAATGAGTTAACACGAAGATATGATACGTATTTAGGGATTCTAGTTTTATTCTTATAAAGTTTTTTTTTCTGTTTGGTTGTAAAAATTATACTAGGAACATTTTTTTCCTAGACTTGGCCTTACAGAGATAAGGAATTATACAAAATGGTACAGAATGTAACAGTATTTTAAATATACTATATTTAATCTATTTCAACTCTATTCATAAGAAGTTCGACAGAGAATTTGTCTACTTTAAGAAGTTATAATTTATTCAACACACACTTTTATTTAGGCCATACGAATGGAGGACATGTTCGGCCTTTACGTTCTAGAATTATCTAACAACGCCAAATCATGATTTCTTGTATCTATTGGAAAACATTTCTTTGGTCTTTGATTTGAGACAGCTTAAAAAGCTGTCGTTGAACAAGAGGTATATTGAAACCCGAAATATTATATAAAGTAATGCTCAGTGGTTGACACTGACCTAGAAATTAAAAGACAACATTTAGAACTCACATATGGGAAGGTTGTTTATAGAAGAGTTTATACAGCTTTGAAACAGGTTGCACTCATGTGAATCTTTTAGTATATTTTACTAAAATATCATAGTGGAATCGACTAAAATGTTATATTTAGCTATATAAAATTAGTTTTAATAATAATAACTGCACATATCGGTTTCTTTTTATATACAAGAGTCATGTAAAATTTCGGATATCAATTTTTACGAGATATTATTTTTACAACCGCACAGAGCTCAAAACACAGCCAAAGTATAATAATTCGAAAACCCTACAATTTAAGATTTTTCAGACGGTCACACTATAAAAAAATCTAAATTTAACACACTAGAAGGCGTCTTGACAGTGATAAGCTAGACCAAGATACATTTTCGTATCCATTTTGGATATTCGTCATATTCAAATATCCTGGCATTATTTCAATTATTGTGGCCTTGGATATGTAGATAATTTCTTCACAAATACAGATATTAGTAATTGTTTTTATTCCACGTTTATATTACGATAACACAATTTTTATTAAGACGATTTCATTTACAAGTTTTTATTTAATTTCTAGTGATCGAAACTCCCAACGATATAGTTTTACTAACGTCATTTTAGACATCCTTAAGAACCTTGATGACTTAAAGAGTATTGTCACATGTAAAGCTAATGCATAACTCCTAAACAAAATTATATTTACAAGTCATGGCCTCATAAGACCACACTATTTCCGACCCTATGTTATACTAAGTGACCGTAAGGCCAAAATCTATTTGTATGACCGTCTGATATATAAAATAAGAATTATCTCTGGCTATAGTACTTCTCTTGATAGCATTCGTACAGTTTGATCCTTACCAGTCAGGCATCCGTTGCTATACTCTCTTGAACAATCTTCTCTTCCGACTCTGGTTCCTTCTTCTCCTCTTCTTTGACTTCTTCGGTTTTCTCTTCTCTGCTTTCTGAAGGTTTGGAATCGGTGGAGATGGAACTAGAGGTGAGACTGTTCGGTTGTGATGATTCTTTGCTCTGTGGTTCTTGTGAACTACGATTGTCCGGTTGTTTATCTTTTGCATCTGTGGAATTAGGCTTATTTCAATATATAAATTCACATGAAAATAAACAATGCATGCTTTTATGATTCTATAATTATTATTATGATCCTAATGGTGATGTTTTTTAATGAATGAACAAAAATATTATGGCCAAACTAAACTATCTATAAAAGACTTAGTATCTTTATATATATATATATGTATAAATGTTAAGTTGGGTTGTGTACTCTACAAAAACTCAAAAAGTTGAGCTCAAATTGTGACACGATATACAACACGCTACAATTTTTTTTTTTTTTTCAATTTTTCGCGAACTTTTACTCTTCATTTCTCATCAATGCAACTAGAACTTGCCACAGCAAAGTGTGGGAAGGAGCAGCTAGTTATTTATAAAAATAAGTTGTCAATTCTTAGAAGGGTAATGCGACGGTGTATGTAAACGGTGTCCGAAAGATTTAATCGTTTATGGAACTGTCTATGGACATTGGAAGACATAATGGGCAATAAAAACAATAATAAGCCCGAATAGGTACATATTTCTGGATTTAAATTTAATATACAAGAATATAAGAAAAAGTTAAGACACCTAACACACGGCTGTCTGCTCCTAGACTAGAGCCTCACTAGTCTGAGCAGAGCAGAGCCTGTGCTATAGTAATCAGACTGCTAATACGTTGTCCGTGTTTTGACTGATTAAGAATACGGAGTGTCACCACCTCTATTTATCCCGTGGGTGTCGTAAAAGAAGACTAAGGGAACAAACTACGCAGGACAACATCACTGTAAAGAGAAGGAAAACTTGAAACAAAACCTATATCAACCCGTCTGGACAGCCTGGGCCTCAATTCTGCTATTTTATGTTCACGCCAAGCCAGTGTCATACCACTGACACGCTATTGAGATGCCATCGAGTGGCCATTGGCATCGGTATAAATACGGTAGTTGAAAATATATTAGGTTTTTTGAGGAAATTATTTATTTATTTTTATTATAGTAAATTATTAAAAGAAATAAATAAATTAAATTAAATTATTAAAAAAGAAAAATAAAAAAAAGAAATAAAAAACTATTGAAATAAAAAAATTAAAAAATTAAATAAACAAATCATTTCCTTATAATTTGAAAAAATATTTATTTTAATATTATTTTTATTTTTTTGTGTTAATAATTTATTTATTTATTTATTTTAATAATTAATAAAAATAAATATATCATTTCCTCAAAAAACCTAATATATTTCCAAATTATAAGGAAATTATTTATTAATTTTAATACGTATTTATTTTTTTATTCTAATAAGTTATTTATTTCTTTTTTTATAATTTTATTTTTTAAATAATTTATTTTTATTTATTTATTTCTTTTAATAATTTATTATAATAAAAATAAAAAAAATCATTTCCTCAAAAAACGTAATATGTTTTTAACTACCGATATTTATACCGATGCCAATGGCCACTCGATGGCATCTCAATAGCGTGTCAGTGGTATGACACTGGCTTGGCGTGAACATAAAATAGCAGAATTGAGGCCCTGGTATAGTAGGTCAAAACCTTCTTTGTAACGAAAGGCCTGTGTCCAGCAGTGGACTATTATGAGGATTTCGATGATAATGATGATTAAATACGTACATATTATAGAAAAAATATAGCCAGACATAGAACAAATGATTATGCTAAGTATAAAATGATTGATTGAAACGTTCGTCCTGTTGTTATAGTCCATAAACGTCGTGCGCGACCGTCCTGCGGGGTGACAGACGGTGGCGGGGACGAGGTACTCAAGATGTCAGCGGGTAGAGGGTGGTGTAGCGGAGAAGGGAATCGTGTGTAGCCGTGCTAGAATGACGCGCTACCTCGCCCCCGCCACTGTCTGTCACCCCGCGGGACTGTCGCGCACGAGATTGCTGGGTTATAATGGGTGTCCCAAGAAGAACGCAATTTTTAAATTTTAAATAAAACACATATGTAAAAAAAAAATCGTGAAATTTTATTATATCGTAAAGTAGACAGAATGAGGTTATGTATGGAACAATATATCGTGCAGATGGCCGCCGCGGCTTTGCTGGTATGCACGCGATCTTTTAATGAAATTTTCAATGACCGTTTTGCATGAATGCTGCGGTATTTCATTAATGCAGCGTCCAATTTCCTCTTTTAAGGCTTGAGTCGTCGTCGGCTTATTCGCGTAAACCATAGACTTCAAAAACCCCAAAGAAAAAAATCTAATGGTGTTAAATCGCACGATCTAGGCGGCCAATTCTGATCTCCAAAACGCGAAATAACACGACCGGGAAATGACTGATGCAGCAATTGAATTGTTTCTCTGGCTGTATGACATGTGGCGCCGTCTTGTTGGAACCACATGCCCTCCACATTCATTTCTTCAATTCTAAATTGCGTTCTTCTTGGGACACCCGTTAGTATAGTAACTGCTAAGTCAGAGATTGTTCAATACATACCCAAACAAATAATTTTGTGAGGAGCATGCTCATTAGTTCTGTGTCAGGGCAAATTTATTTACAATATGTATGTACATAGAAATATTTAAGTATGTTTATCAACAGCCTGTTTACCATAGTGCAGGCTCTGCTTAATTTGGGATTAGACGGCCGTGTGGGAGATGTTGATAAAATATTTGATGGGACTACATTTGACACAAAAATGAAGATTATATGGTGGGTTCAGTTCTTATATTTTTCTCGTATTACTAATGTACGCTGTGTAGTGAAGAAAGTTTCATGAAAATATTTATTTAATGAATAGTATTATTGTATCAAATTACTTCTGTATGACTTTGGTTCTAACACTAATTACAAACTACAGAAATAATAAGTACTAACATATAAAAATAACTTAAAATAAACTCAAAATGGGAATCTTCTATCCCGATAGTTAAGTCATCTTCTTTATGTTATCTTGTTGCTTCTATTGCATTCTAGAATGCAGCCACGCTTGAAGAGACAATTTCGCCCAGAGCAAATCTTTAGGGGAAGGAGAATAATTAGGAGTTTCTTATTTAATAATCAAATTTGGGAATAAAAAGGCATTTAAAAAATGGCACATTTTTGTATCGTATCTCCTAAACGAATGGATCGATTTTAATGTAGTTTTTTGTTTGAAAGCTGACGTGAACGAGATGGTTCTTAGGTAGATTGTGAAGATCATCAGCTCATTTGTTGGTTGATAAAGAGATACCACAATTTATAGAACTATTGATTTAAAATTAAGTGTACTGTTACTTTAGTGGTATTTCCATAATATGGTAACCTTGACCTGATGCTGCAGCCAAGCCTTGATGCTGGTGTCGGGTGTATTCTAAATTTGTGTTATTAATAGATAATATATATCAACAAGGACGTTTTAGAGGCATCATGCTGATACCGGTTTCTTTGTATAAATAACTTTTTTAAAGTGTCACAGACTGTATTTCTCATTATTTATTTTTAACCTTATGGTTGCAATTTTTTCTGCCAATTTAAATGGGACCAAAGGGACCTTTCAAATAAAAAAAAGAACTTTTTAAAACAGTTAATAACTGAAGGAGTTCTGAGATAACAAACTTAAAAATTTAAAAACAGCCGAATTAAAAACCTCCTTTTTCCGGTTTAAAAAAAAACATCACATATTTTGAGACATTACACAGTTTTATCTAAAAAAGGAATAGCATAAACGTAGGCATGTTTTTTTTAACGTATAGCAACCATAACGAGGTTTAATGGTACCGAATAAAACCGTAATATGTTTGTTTCGGAGATTTATTTCGGATGAAATCCTTGCGAAACCAGATAGATTTAGTAAACAAATAATATAAGCATGGGAGACAATACTGTCATAATTTTAAATCCCTCATTTTAAGTTTACTATAGTACTTAAGTTTACTATAGACTGCACGGATGGCGTAGTGGTTTAAGCGGTCGCCACGCCGCTTCCTACTACGCCGAGTGTTGTGGGTTCAAACCCCACATGGGACGACACTTTGTGTGATCCACAAATTGTTGTTCTGAGTCTGGGTGTTCTTTGTGTCCGTTTCATGTATGTTTGTAAAGTCCCCCGCGACACAGGATTTATTCCTAATGCGGGAGTTGTCTTTTTTAAAAATAAAAAAAAAAAAAACCGCCGTAAGCTTGACCCTCCTGATGGTTTGGGGGACGCGGGGCGGGGGTGCATTCAACCAATTAGCTAGTGCGTCGCTGTCCGCCGGCAGTGACTGACGTGAAAGCATGGCCGTACGTGTTATTTTTCTTAAGACTGCTACACACAGTATTATTTTGCAACATGGATAATCTGCCGACTCTGCGTCACAAAAAGATTTAAAAACTTGAAGTTCGGCTTACAGAGGTTCTACTGTTAAAGTTCTAATAAAGAATATTTATTATTTTACTTAATTTTTAAATTGTATCTGAATATAATTTACATGATGAAGATAAGGTGATTTTATTAAAATTATTTTACAGTATTAAATTTTACAATTAATCATAAAAACTTACAATACACTGACATTATAATACATGGAAATAAATTCGATTTTTATTACATCGTGTGTAGATTAAATCTCAAACAAATAAATCTGAAGATATCGAGTTAGTACATCGTGTCATGTATAGCCGAGCGCATCACCCGCCCCGCGTCCCGCAAACCATCAGGAGGGCCAAGCTTACGGCGGTTTAACTATAGTAGTATTGTTTAGTAATTGCACGATCCAATTACCATACATATTACAGCGTCAGTTAATTACTTTGACTTATTTAGTTATTATAAGGACATTTGTAGCAATTCACACTAAGTGAAAACTCGTTACTTTATCAAGTAGTAAATCCTGGCTTGTTTTGTTTATTTGTTACGCTTTCACGCTTAGACCGCTGAAGCAATTTCAAAAAATTCTATCACGAATGGAAGCTACACGCGGGCGGGCCGCGGACCAAAGCTGGTATTTTATTATCATCAAGGATTTGCAAGCTGAAGTGGCAGTGGACTGGTCATATTAGCAGCAGAACTGACAAACGTTGGGGTAAACTAGTTCGAGTGGAGATCGCGTCTAGGCAAACGTGGTATAGGGCACCAACAGGTCAGGTGTTGCTGGCAGGAGTTGGATGCGAGAAGCCGAAAATCTAGGTGGTGTGCAATGAGAGAGCCCTATGTGCAGCAGTGGACTGCGATAGACTGATGATGATGATGAAGAATTTATTATGACTTAAGATCTATCAAGCAAGCACGGCAGCATCAGGGGTAACCCGTACAGTAGTACATAGTTTTTGACTTAGCCATCAGGCGGTGGATACGATATCAAATGTTAAACGTCATTTGTAACTATTTTAAGGTTCCCTAGTTTCGTTTTTCTACAAACAGATAATTATAATAAAAATAAAGTAATATTTACCGGCTCCATGTGTTGCCGGCCAGGGTTTCCGAACGAACATGTTCTCCACGATCCTATCAATATTATCCTTTTCTGTAGAGTTCGCTGGCCTGAAAATATCACAAAAACACATAAAGGTCATAATTCTCACAATAATACATTCGTAACAAAATGTTATGTGTTTTATTTACTTACACAGTTTTATTATGTAGAAAAGACACGCCTAACCAGTAAAACTAATTTCGACTTAATGCCTATAGGGATTTCCTATGAGCCTTTGCTTAAACTAGGTTGGGTTTAAGCTTTTTTTTTTGTTGCCGTCAACATGGAAAATCCGTTCGGATCTCCTGCTCCTCGGGGACTCAGGAGCCAGGAGTATGTGGTGATTCCACTAAAAACCACCCCGACGGCCGGCCTTAGGTGTCCTACTCTGGGGAGGACCCGGACCATGTTATTTCAGGTCCTGCCCGAATTGACACCATGCCTAATCAGGCCCTATCCCAGGGAAGGGTCGGCTTTAAGCCTACTACCATAAGGCTGAACTTCGATTTTTTACGCGAAACGACTGCTATCAGACCTCCACAACCCAAGTACTAGGCGATATCGAAGTTTGTAGATAGACTGTTGTTGGAGTTTTTAGAGCTCCAATTACCCATAACGATTGCAACCGGGATCGACGGCCTAACGTGACCTCGGAGGGGGCTCGATGTGTTAAGAATGGTCACCCATCCATAGTCTAACCTGGCTAGGATTAATAATTTTGCAATATGTTAACCTACTGGATTACCAATTAGGCTCGAGCCCCCGGTAAGCCAAAACTTATATTTAAATAGTATAAAATAAATCTTATCAATACCGAAGCTTATGAGAGGTCAGTTTATGTCAAAATTAACACCCCAGTATATAAGCATACACATCTAATGGATCGTGACGGTGACCGCCTTCGGCGCTGAGATTGGTGAAGAATTCAAGGGGCCTAGCGTGAGTTTATTTCACATAAACTTTATCGAGAAAACGTACCAAATATATAAATAGTGTATTGCGATCTTCGAATTTTCTTTCTTTCTTTCTTTCTTTGATCATAAAACATTAAAATATTTAAAAAGCAAACAACCCTCACGTATAATGCATTTAATTATTTAAAAAAATAATTAAATCTTAATATTGCGTTTTTATGGTGAAAATACTTTTTTATTATACTAAATATGTGTAGAAAAGCTTTTCTGTTACGCCGTCATGTGTATGCAGTGTGTATGTGGTCGGTAAGTACAGGGTGTAAGATGACGTAGGTGTTGTGCGTGGTATAGTAGACCAAAACCTTCTTTCTAAGGAGAGGCCTATGTCCAGCAGTGGACTATTAAAGGCTGTTGATGTGTAAGGTGACGACGTACCATAATATAGAAGCACTACTTCATGGCGTGGTGATCTAAGCGGTTCCGTTTCCTACTATGCTGAGTGTTGTGCGTTCTATCCCACATGGGACAAGACTTTGTGTGATCCATAGATAGTTGTTCCGAATTTGGATGTTCTTTGTGTCAGTTTTATAAATGTTTGAAGTCCCACGCGACACTGGATATAATTCCTTAGTTAGTCCTTAGTTGTCTTTTAAATTATAAAAAAATGACCTTTCAAACCTTGCGTTTTTATGATGAAAGGAGTTTATTTAATTCACCTGGTATGACGGTGACGGCGTACCACAATACAAAATAACGAGTGTGTTTTAGACCACACGACTGAAGTAAAACTTCTTGGCTATGAGAGAAAGAGAGAAAGAAAATGTGGTGCGAGCGACCTCTCTCTCTTGCCCTTACAGTAATAAACGAAACATAACTCGTATCTCTTTCTATCTTCACTAACTTATATCTCCCTCTCAACTTCCGTTCGCCAGCATTCACCAGCTTACTCCCCAAGTCGAGCGTGCGTAAAGAAGATTTACTTCAAAACCATTCATTGCAGTCGGGTCTCGAAGAACAAAGTGATAAAAGTAGAAGCTAGGTGTAGTGGGAGCAAGGAGGTGGGTCGTACCTGTCGGTGTGGTGCGGGCTGACGATGGGGATGGCGGCGGTGGGGCGGCGCTGCGCGCGCGGCTGCGGCGGCGGCGGCTCCTGCTCCGCGCAGTTGTAGTACGTCACGCCGCCCGCCTGCGTCGCCTGCGCATACGTATTGTCACAACAACGATCCTTACTTACCTACTTACTTTTCAAAAATGTTTAAGTCAATTTGAAAATTAGTTGATAAAAAGTCAATCAATGCATCTTTTAAAGATATCTTTTTTTAGAGGGGGCAGGGGGAAGGCAACTCCAGAGTCACAAGTTGGTTGCCAAACTTTGTGTGTGAGTGCGGGGGAAGGGAGGGGGGAGCAATCAAGCGTTTAGGCTCCGGCACAGAAATCGTCATAATAAGACACTAGAAATGAATTAGCGCGCTCGATTAGTTCCAAAACCGATGTCGCCACATCTTAACACATACACAAAATACAAACAAATAGGTATAAAACTTGCACACATTTGCAAAACAACGTTAAAATGTATCGGACACAAACTATTATGAACCTTAATCTCCAGGCATTACAGTGCATTTATTATGTGACACCACTACAATCTCCTTCGATGTATGAGAATCCCCCTGTTAACAATGCTAGGGATTGACTATATTTATTTTGAAGGTGTCGATATTTTTCTGTATGGATTACAAGTAGCAATGAAAACTAAACATATATACAATTTTTTTAATATTTTAACAGTTATGATACTTCTAAATGAATAGTACCTATTATAATAATAATAAAATTTGTTTCGGAGTTTAACCTATTATGGTAGCAGTTCGTCATTTTAACAGTATAAATTCACATACGACGGTCCGCGCAACTAAATCACGAATGGTGTGAATATCTGTAAGTGGTGTTCGTCTACACATCATTCAAGGTCAAGCGTCTATGCGAGTTCCACTGTCTTATTATTACGATTTCTATTGGCTCCGGCAACCTCACTCGGTAAAAAGGAACGGATGGATGGCTTAACACTATACATGGGACAAAATCACTGTGATTTATCATTCGATGTTTTCGTACGTGGGTTTGAGTTGTTACTTACTGACGCGTTGTTGCCAGTAAGCTGTTTTCAGACGCTATTTAACAATAAATCTAGTTTTTATATAGATTATAGCTATAACTATGTAATAAAATAATTACTAAATTTATTGAAGTGAAAACTTCTTATGGGAGGGTAAACCTTTTCGTTACGTAACGCGTTACGTCGCCAATCTGTCTGGCTTCCCTTTCTCTCACGGCATACGGCAGCGGTAGGCAGGCTCCTCCTATCACTTTAACCCACAGCGCTAGCCGTATTTCAGACAGACGCTTTACATAAAATTTAAGTAATAACCTAAGCTTTTCTCAAGTTAAACAAATCAAATTTAATTAATAAACTAAGCTTTTCTCAAATTAAACAAATCCAATATTAAATAGTTCAACTTAGATCAGTTTAAGTTATCACTTTTTTCGGGCGTCCCGAGACGCACACGTTTTTTTATATCTTTATTATATACAGTCAACATATACGTAACATGACGTAATAAACAAACACGTTACAAGATTTACTGTTAATAGGCGAAATAGGGTCGTTATGCATCGTCTGAAAACAGCTTATTGGCAAAAACGCATGAGTAAGTAGCAACCCTAACCTACGCACGAAAAAATCGAATGATACTCGCAAATCACTGTTCATTCACAGTTCACTGTGATTTTGTTACAGGTTTACTTAACACCGATTTTCTGTGAGGCCGTGGTATAACTCCAGTCGAGTGCTGAAGCATGGCTCTTCCACGTTTGTCATCTTGTGATACCGTCTGTATATATATGGGTCGATGATATACTTACGTAGTTGTGGTGAGGGTAGATTTGATGTTGGTAGGGCGCGTGTGGCGCGTGGGGCGCGTGTGGCGCGTGAGGCGCGAGTGGCGCGTGCGGCGCGTGCGTGGCGTGCGGCGCGTGGGTGGCGTGTGGCGCGTGCGTGGCGAGAGGCGCGTGTGTCGCGAGAGGCGCGTGTGTGGCGAGAGGCGCGTGCGGCGCGGCGGTGAACATCGCACCACCGAACACTGCGCCGCTACCGCTCTGCTACAACACCCAACCAACTTTTATTAGCTTGCGCGGTTATGTGCGACCTTAGAATATATCAACATAGCGGGCCCTAATATCTATTGCATACCGAAACCAGTACCGATGCAATTAATAGCGCATTGTGTTGCAGATTTACGGTTTACCAGATTCTCTATGCGATACAGTTGTTCGAACCGGTTGATTCAAACGGAGCCCGCTCATCATTATCACAACAAAATGAAGTAAGAAGTTAAACATGCGGGGAATATAAATTATTAACAACCGTAAGAAAATATGTATAATCTTCTAAGCATGATTTAATCGGACTGACCGAACTGGACCAATAATCAAGAATTACATGTTATGTAGACTTAAAGCGGACCTTGTAGACCTATAACGAGCAGTCATTTACATATTAACGTATGAACTCACAAACATTTACATAACCACACGTTTGGTGTACTTTAAATCTTTAGTGAAATTAGACGAATGCGCGCCCTCTGTATACTTAATCGTCTATTGCTTAAAAGATAGATGACAGAGGATATGCTTCTAAAGCTTAGCTGAGTCTATATTAGGCGACTCAACCCTCAGACGGAATTTGACTATGTTACCGTTATTGATTCGTAGCGTAACGGTTAAATAAATAAAAATCTGTTCAACTATTCATTTTAAACGTTTTTTTTTCCAAATTTTAAATTCTAAGTATTTACTTTAAAACAATTTATAAAAGTTGAATTAGTAATCTGCTAGTCTTAGTAATACTTAACTATTTTACTACGAAAATACCGAACTTTTATTACGAGAATTGGCCTTCAAGTTTTACTTTTTATAGACATTATGTATAAGAATGTAGTATATGTAAGCCGTTTGTGTACAAAATAAATTAATAAACTCAAACCTATTTCTTCAAAAGAGTAGGCAGAAGTGAATAGCTGTTTTTGTCTCCTAAAATGTTGGTCCCACTTAAATAACAGGAGCCAAGCCTAGTACCGTTGTGGGGAAACGTATGTCATGTTCCTCCAACACATAGGGAAGATCCTAGTATCAGCCGAAGTGATTGTGCCTTGCGGGGGAAAGCCCAATGGTTGATGTTGGGAAGTTGTACATTTACTAATCGCAGTGATAATTATTAATATCGCGATACAGGATTAGCAGTTATTCCGTAGTTCAGTGTGCCTTCGGTAGATGGCGGTGTAGTACGCTTTTGTTTTATTGTATGTGAAAAGCGTCACACCGTCAACCGGGCTCTTAGGAATTAGATGGGCAAATTTGGAATAGATAAATCCCCGGCAATGGACGGTAAGAGATAATGCGTATACGGATGGATTCGAGAATGAAAGCTACAGCTTGAGCATTTTACGCCTAGTGATGCAGTGCGACTGCTGTGCTGAGGCCTCGGATTCGATTTCCGGGTCAGACTAAATATTTGTATGATCTGCGACTATTTGTTTCGGAGTTTGAGTGTTTTCTATGTTTAATATGTGTGTATTTACAAAAAAAAAGTATAAAAGTATTCTATTAGTCAATCTAGTTTTCATAGTAAAAGCTCTGCTTAGTTTGATACTAGATCGCGTTGTGTGTTAAATGTCCGAAATATTACTATAATTTTTTGAGGGTCGCATTCTTTTTTTGTGTTAAATTTTACGATGTCAAATCAGTATCTTTTGTATTATACGTTAAATCACTTATTGTATTAAATACTAAACCTTGACGTCATATCCAGCTACTTTAGAATCATTTACTTTGAATGTCGATTTGAAAATTAAAAAAAAAAATATATCATCAAGACATTTTTTCTGATATAGGGGCAAACGAGCAACGGGTCACCTGATGGAAAGTGAATACCGCCAGTCATGAACGCCTGAAGGTCAACGAGCGAGTATATAAGTCAAAACCATCTTGTGCATGAACATTTAATGCTTGATTTGGTCTGGGTGTTTCTATGTATAATATGTATGTATTTACAAAAAAAAAGTATATATGTATTTCTATCAGTTATCTAGTAGCCATAGTACAAGCTCTGCTTAGTTTGGGACTAAATGGCGTTATGTGAATGTGGTAGAATATTATTATTATATCCTTTTTTTTATGGAATAGGGGGCCAACGAGCAGACAGGTCACCTAATGGAAAGCGAAGTAAATGCAAAGCAACGCAGTAACACTTCCATTGTTGTAGCTCCGTTTCACATGAATACCCGTGAGCTGAACTAAAATGTATCTCCCAATTCTTATTTTTCATTATCCCGTATGTAATTTGTTTTTATTTTTCATTTTAGACAATGTTTATAAGTCTATACAAATAAATAAAATTGAATTGTCTGTTTGTTATGTCAAAATAATAGGTTTTTGTCATGATCACACGGTTATTTACACGATATGTGGCTAAAAACCAGTTCAAACACTTTTATACCTTTTATGAAAGTTGTGAGATCGAAGGTTGATCGGAACTGAATTGAGACCGAACTTTTATTACGAGAATTAGCCTTAAGGAAGAATTACCAAAATAACCTTACGTAATTAATGAACGCCAATACAAAGAAGTGACAATTTACTCGTTGAACGGGAACAATGTATATTCAAATTATAATTATTAAAAAGCTATGCTATATTACGGTTACTCTCTGTCTCTCCCTTCCAAACTATTCATCCCACATGGTCGTGGGATCAGCTTTCCTCGTCTGTATACTCCACTTCGCTCTATCATCTATGTCGTATTTGGAAACCATACAGTCTTTCATGTCAACACTACATAATCCCACCTTGCCTAATTATTAAATATTTATATAAAAGTCGACTAATTCAACTTAACGTGAAAACTTAACTAGGCTAAGTACAATCAAGTTTACTTAGTTTAAGATCATATCACATTAAAACAAGCGAATACCCTCATGATTATTTTTTATTTCTTGTTTCTAACTTTGAAAATGACGAACTGCCATACAACCCTTCATCCCTTATTTGACCCCCTTAGGGGTGAAATCTTCAAAAATCCTTTTTTAGTGGGTGCTTACAACATAAAAAGCGTCAGATGCGAAAGTTTCAAGTTTTTAGCCCCAGCGGTTCAAGCTCCGCGTTTATTAATCAATCAGTCAGCGCAAGTTATTACATATCTTTAAGATAAAGCACCATAAAAGCCCTCAAAGCCAGTATAGCGTAACTAAATATAATATTTTACTTACTTGCATGTACTGAGCGGGCATCATCGCTGGAGGTGCATAAGCTTGCGTTGGTTGTAACTGACCTGTGTAATTTGTTTATTTTTTAACAATACTTTTCAATGGTTAAAACAGAAAATTCTGACTGAAGTAGGCAAACTGACACTAATTTGTGGCACAAAGTACTTAATTTGTATTAGATCTATCTAAGATCTGAGTCTAATACAAATTAAGTACTAGTACAACAGATTTTAACTAAAAAAGTTAGTTAAATATCGACACAATCATTATGTAAATCTATACTAATATTATAAAGCTGAAGAGTTTGTTTGTTTGTTTGTTTGTTTGTTTGTTTGAACGCGCTAATCTCAGGAACTACTGGTCCGATTTGAAAAATTCTTTCAGTGTTAGATAGCCCATTTATCGAGGAAGGCTATAGGCTATATATCATCACGCTATGACCAATAGGAGCGGAGCACCAATGAAGAATGTTTCAAAAACCGAGAAAATTTATTACTATTGAGAGACGCAGACGAAGTTGCGCGGGTCAGCTAGTAAAGTATAAAATGTATATAAAATGTGTTATTTTCGTAAGACATTTAAAAAACCTTTTATTATTGGACCCCAACATAATTTAGAACAAAAAATTAGCCATTTTTATTACTTTCATATACCATATATAGTTTCACTCTCACAATTAGGACGAATCTAATGACACTTCAAACGCCAATATCCTTGAACTCGTTTTGGCTACAGAGCGTAAATAATAGAAAATAATATAAAAATATACCCTAAAAAAAACCTTCTTCTAGCGCAGTCGGGTAAAAACTAGTTAGTTTTCGGCCACACGCTTAAGGTGCATTCGATTGTACTTTTTTTATCATTCTAAAATGATACGGTGAAGAGGAAAATCACATTATTCAAATATAAATGTAATAAAAACTTACCGATAGTGTGAGCTTGTGGTAAGTTGTGTATATTGTGGTGAGGGTGTGGGACTGAAGCCAGCTGCTGCTGTTCCAAGATGCCTAGCCTCACCTGTACACAAAATAAATATATACGAACTGTAAAAGGACATATTTAAACTATACTAATATTATAAAACTGAAGAGTTTGTTTGTTTGTTTGTTTGAACGCGCTAATCTCAGGAACTACTGGTCCGATTTGAAAAATTCTTTCAGTGTTAGATAGCCCATTTATCGAGGAAGGCTATAGGCTATATATCATCACGCTAAGACCAATAGGAGCAGAGCACCAATGAAGAATGTTTCAAAAACGGTGAAAATTTATTACTATTGAGAGACGCAGACGAAGTTGCGCGTTTGACTACCAAAGCATGATTTTACAACATATTTATACTTATCTACATTATAAAGAGTAATTTTATAGTTCCTAAGTTGATGTAAGTTGTTTTTGTTTACAAATTTTATGTTCTTTCTTTTTGATGGTTTGAGTTTTACAATTGCAATAGTATGTAGTTTATTTTTCTTAAAATTAGCATAGATATAAGCGATTTGGTGGACACTGTGATGCTTATATTTTATTAATAAAGAATATAATATGGCCACCGGGACAGACCGCTTAACGTGCTCTCAGAGAGATTGATATTGCGCTTCAGGTAGTATGTGTATTTTAATGAAAATGGGTTTTTAAATTTATGTTATGCATGAAAAGCACTAAGTGTATTTTTTCTATAGTTATGAACACCTGCACCTCAAGAGTCACAAGTTAGTTGGGGGGCGAACAACCCCCACCTTTCTCCTGAAGTAGAGAGAGGGAGGGAGTTGAGTCTTCAGTAAACTTTAAACTAGTTACTGTTTACTATAGAGGCTCACAAACTACAAAATCAGCATTAAAGCGTAAGAATGTAAGAAGTGGTTACCTGCTGTGCATGCTGCTGCGGTGGAGCCGCGTGCGCGTGCTGCGGGGGAGGCGAGGCGTGCACCTGGGGGGAGGGGGGATACACTTACAGTACATACTTTTTAATACTATGTCTTTAAAAAATAAAGATACTAAATACTTTAAACAATGCTGAATGTGAATATTTCCAAAATCACTACCCCATCCATGCAGTGCAGTGCATGCGTGAATTTTTTTTTTTTTTTTAACTCTTTTGGACCGCTGCGTCAGATACCATCTACTGCACCAGATCCCTTCTATTGTTGGTGAATCATTTAGGTTCATCACAACAACAGCCTGTAGTAGTCCACTGCTGGACATAGGCCTCTCTTTAGAAAGGAGGTTTTGGCCTACTATACCACGCTGGGCAGACAGGTTGGTATAGGGTTTGTGTCAAGTTTTCCTTCTCTTTGCAGTGCTGTTGTCCTGCGTAGTTTGCTTCCTTAGTCTTACAACACCCACGGGGTGAATAGGGGTGGTGACACTTTGTATTCTTAATGCGTCACCACACGGACCTCGAATCATTTAGGTTAGATGAGGTTATAACAGTATGATATTGCGGTCAAAAGTATTTTTGACTGATTTTGAAAGTAAAAAATACTTTTGACCAATTAAGGGTTCTGTCTGTTAAATACTCGTATATGTGATTAAAATTAATACGAGTACATCGAGTAATTGACGCAAAAGGCAGACTACTGTTAACACGTGATTACTCGCTGCAGAATAGAACTAGAGCGTTTACACCACAGATATGATAAGCCCGCTATAAGAGGGAACCTCCTTTCTAAGAAGAGGCCTATGTAGCAGTGGACTATAAATGCTGTTGACGATGATGATGAAGAGGAAGCTGCGATACGCGGTGTGGACATACTGCATTATTATTAAAAAAGTTCGATTATAGAACTTTCTCAAGAGATAAATTCATTTATTTCCTCTTTAGACAAATTCTCCTTGAAAGTGATATATTTATATTGAGCTACCTGGTGCATCATGTGCTGTGGATGGCCATGTGGAACTGTTGCAGGCGGATGACCGGTCCCACTCACAAATTCAGCTCCTCCTGCTTAAGATAAAGAAAAAACAAGAAATGAATGCTTAGGAAGAAAAAAATAACGTGAAAATAATAATGAAAACGTGTTAATGTGTAGTTCATTGGAGTTCAGGAAAAAGTCCAAAAAAGAGGAATCAAAATGTTGATATGGCTGACTACTAATATGTTAAAGCTGGACAGTTTGTTTGCTTGGTTGAAAGCGCAAATCTCAGTAACTACTGGTTGGAATTGATAAATTCTTTTAGTATTTGATAGCCCATTCATCGAGTTTTTTTTTAAGAAGACAACTCCTGAATTATAATATGATATATCCTGTGTCGTTGGGGACTTTATAAACATACTTTAAACGGGCACAAAGACCACCCAGACTCAGAACAACAATTTGTGGATCACACAAAGTGATGTCCCATGTGGGGATATCGAACCCACAACACGCAACGCAGTAGGAAGAGGCGTGGCGACCGCTTTTACCGCTACGCCATCCGTGCAGTCGTTTTATTCCTTTTGAGACATTACGGTTCCATCATAAAGTTAAATAAGTAAACCATCAAAAATTTACCAGCATGATATCTGTGTTGTTGCTGTTGAGGTTGCTGTTGTTGTATTTGTTGTTGCGGCTGTTGTTGCTGTTGCTGCGGCTGTGGTGGCTGCTGTTGCTGCTGTTGTTGTTGTTGTTTTTGCTGCTGTTGTTGCGGTGTGTAAGGCTCGGCAAGAGGTCTTTGGCGTAAGCTACTGTATCGTTTGCTACCTCCACCTTGACAGATATGATTATAACATTATATGATTACTAGCGACGCGCCCCGTGCGGTGCAATGTCTGACATCACATTGCAAATCTTTGGAATTGTCGGATTTTCTCCACCATAATATTTTCTTTATTGTCTATATGTGTATTTTATTTGTTACTATAGAGATATAAACATAGGGAGAACACTGGGTACAGGTGCCTATAAGTGGCAGCGATACAGGCAACGGGAGAGATGGATGCCTGATATTTCCCTCTGTCACTGTTTAGCTAAGCTGCCATTGGCTACTTTTCAACCCCTTATATTCCCCAGCCGACCAAAGCGCTCGGCTAGAAAGAGATAGAGGGGACTAATTATTTTCTATCTCTCTCGTTGCCTATATTGCAAGACTAGGGCTCTTGTTCCTTCTAGGTTATATCTCTATGTTTGTTACTCACCGGAAGCCGGTTGCTGTCCTTGTTGCTGGTTCTGTTGCTGTTGCGGTTTTTGTTGCGTCGGCTGTTGGGCCTGTTGCGGAGGGGACTTGTTCCGCGTAGGGGCCGGTTGTTGCTGAGGCTGTTTCAAATGATTTTTCTCATTGTAAATCAGGTAGGTTAGTAATGTTAACCATTTTATTGATTGCAAAATCGGCAGTACCACTTAATTACAATATACTTCTTAGTTCTTCTTGTGGCCCTCTATTAGTTCGTAGGAGAGCCATTTTCGAGCGCATACTAATAAAATTTAAACTCATCAACAGCCTTTACTAGTCCACTGATAGACATAGGCCTCTCCTTAGAAAGGAGGTTTTGGCCTACTATACCACGCTGGGCTTCAAGTTTTCCTTCTCTTTGCAGTGCTGTTGTCCTGCGTAGTTTGCTCCCTTAGTCGGCTCTTACGACACCCACGGTATGAATAGGGGTGGTGACACTCTGTATTCTTAATCCGTGTATTGTATTCTTAATATATGTATATATAATACTCATACTTGTGCATAAAGTATTAAAAAAGAATCCTGAGCACATTTGAGCCAGTGTCTGAGGTCTGACAGGAAACCGTAAAGCAGCATTTTTTCAACTTCCTATTACTAAAATCAGTTTAAATATAGCAAAGATTTTGGCTCCATTGACAAATTTAACCGACTTCAAAAGGACCTCTGTCCTTAAAATTCTCAAAGTTTAAAGTTTAAAAAAATATTATAACACACCTGAACATTATTGACTGGTTTCTTCTTGGCCTGGTCTGTGGGTACCGGTCTCTGTTGGGCAACTGTCGCGTTCACCTTGCGCTGGGCCTGACCTTGACTGGAAATTACATCGTGACTTTATATCTATAATATACAGGGTTTAAGGGACGTCGTAACGAATACTGAAATATTCAGACCATCATTTTGCATTAAAAAAAAAACCGGCAGAAAATGCCAATGATTTTCGACTCAGAATAATGGTCTGAATACGCTATTTCCTCCGGCTTCAGGGTCACTAACTACTAGACTAAGAGGCTCATTATGAACGTCACTTTTGTTCTCTTATTTGTCAAGGTTTCACATCTTGACTGAAAAATGTATCGTCATAAAAGCTCTTGCATACAGAAAAAAATACATTTGCCAGAAAATCTACATAAACGCAAAGAAGTCTTTCTTTGCAAAAGCAAGTATCTTATAAAATACTATCTCTTTCTTTATAAGTTCGTGTTTCTAAGTTTGTAAATAACGAACTTCCATACAACCGTTCATCCCTTATTTTACCCCCTTAGGGGTAAAATATCCAAGAGTTCTCAGTGAGTGCTTCATCAACAGCCTTTACTCGTCCACTGCTGGACATAGGCCTCTCATTAGGAAGGAGGTTTTGGCCTACTATACCACGCTGGCCAAACGGGTTGGTACAGGGTTTGTGTCAAGTTTTCCTGCTCTCTGCAGTGCTGTTGTCCTGCGTAGTTTGCTTCCTTAGTCGCCTCTTACGACACCCACGGGATGAATAGGGGTGGTGAGTCTGTATTCTTAATCCGTCACCACACGGGTGCACAGTGAGTGCTTACAACATAAAAACCATCAGCTTCCAAAATTACAAGTCTGTAGCCAAAGTGGTTTAGGATCTGCGTTGATGAATCAGTCAGTGAGGGCATTTTTTTTAAAATTATTTAATACTTTATGCACAAAAAATGTACCAAGGTGGACTTAATGCGGTAGGCATTCTCTGCCAGTCTACCTTAGGGTGGTGTAGAGTTGAGTGATTAGGTGTACTAAACTTGAATAAAAAGTTTCAATATCAATCATCATCATCATCAGCCTATCGCAGTCCACTGCTGGACATAGGCCTCTCAAAATGCACACCACTTCGATCAATTTTTGGCTTTTCGCATCCAGCTCCTGCCAGCCATCTTGCGCAAGAATCATCATCATCATCAGCCTATCGCAGTCCACTGCTAGACATAGGCCTCTCCCATTGCACGCCACTTAGATCGATGTGCAAGAATAACAAGACTTAACTAAGAAATACAATCACGCGAAAAGATACACGAAAAAAAAATTGTTTAGAAAAATGAAAACCTCACTTGTTATTGACATTGGCAGTGATTGTCAGCTTCTCCAAAGGCGGCATCTTCTCCTTGTTCTTGGGCGAAGCTTTGGTAGCCACACGTCCGGTACCAGACTTGGGTATAGGTTTCCTATTAGTTTTTATGGAAGCGTTTCTGCGCAGAGAGCCGTTCTCCACGGGGTCACCGACTGATGGCTGAGACTTGGAGCGGGGGCGTGGGGAACGCTTACTGTTGGATAAAAGATAAAATTAGAATTATCGTGGACTGATATTTTAGCTGACACTCCTGGATAGACTTTTATTTTGGAATAATAATAATATTTCAGACATCTACGAGTAACACACAACGCCATCTAGTTTCAAAATAAGCGGAGCTTGTACTATGAAAGCTAGATTGACTGATAGAATGCTTATTTTCTTTTTGTTAATACATACATTTTATACTTAGAAAACACCCAAACTCCGGAACAAATATTTGTAGATCATACAAACATTTGGTCCGACCCCGGTATCGAACCCGAGACCGCAGCCCAGAAGCCGCATATGCTACCACTGGCTTTAGAAAGCTTTTGAAACCTATAGCCCTTCGAAAAGTCCTATAGCCCTAAGAAAATAGTAAGGCATCAATCAAGCTCCGCACCCTGATTGATCAGATGCCAAGGCTCCATGCAAAGCGATATTTTCTGAGAATTCTATTTGCTGAGAATTAACAAATTTATGGTTATATCCACCATTTATTGTTATATGTATGTATTAGAAATATATAAGTATATTTATCGGCAGTCTGGTTACCATAGCACAGGCTCTGCCTAGTTTGGAATCAGACGGCCGTGTGTGAGACGTGTAAGGTAATTATATTATTATTATTATTTGACGACCGGAGTACGTAGTGGTTTGTGTAACGGACTGCTATTCCAAATGTCGCAATTCAAACATTTGTGTGCCAGAACATTTACTGTTTGATTTGGTCTGGGTGTTTCTATGTTTAATATGTATGTAATTACAAAAAAAAGTATATATGCATTTATATCAGTTGTCTAGTACCGTTTAGTATATACTAGTATAGTATATTATATTATAGATATATTACACCCAGATACAGAAGGAGTGATCGTGCTCATAACAAATGATTTGTCCTAGGTGAGAATTGAACCCACGACCTTCGGCTTAGCAGTACTAGTCAGTAACCTCTAGAGTCTAGGGGTTACTGACTAGTACCCTAGGTAGGACTCGTCAAATGAATAGAATGATGTATATCGTTAGAATGATGATAACATACCCTTGTCTCTTGCTTGCATCTAACTCGGGGAAATCTTCTGGATTAGGAGGTTTACGGGGAGTAAGTTGAGCGGCGTTCTGCCGACGGTAGGCCTCCTCGTCTTCCCAGGTTCGAGTGTACTTGTTCGGACCGCGGCTGTGGAAACAATACAGTATAATGTAAGTTTAAAACTTAATAAATACTGTTAATAATAATCTTTTGAGGTTTGAATTAAGCATATTTATTGAAAGTAAGCCCATAACCACTAAGTATTACGGGGTATATTTTATTTGACTTTTCAGTAATTCACTGCATATTTGCAAGATTTCTGGCAGGAGCTGGATGCGTGAAGCACAAAATCGATCTAAGTGGCGTGCAACGGGAGAGGCCTATGTCCAGCAGTGGACTGCGATAGGCTGATAATGACTGCATATTTAAGCAAGCACAATGCTCAATAAGTAAATACCCATACAAAAATATGATGAGTTTATGAATCTGTCAAAAATGTCCTCAGTATGGAACATACATCTCTTTTATATTACAATTCATTAATAATTAATCAGCTGTGCCCGAAACACTTCGCTGTAGCACATCTTGGCTGCATTAATGAGAAATAAAAAAAAAATTGACATGAGAAATAGAAAAACAACCATTTTTAAAGCGGGTTGTATATATTTATCAAAACTTGAGCTCAATCGGTACAGATTTTATTAAGTTTTTGAAGTGTATACAAACCAACCTAACATTATTATTAGATTGTATGCATTTTTTAACAATATTTTTCATCCTCAAAACCAATGTTTGTATGAAGGAATTGCAGAAAGTTGTCATGTTTAAACAACGTGTTTATTAAAAAACGTTGTTTAAACATGTCAACTTCCTTTTAGGTTTGAAGCATATATTATTGAAAGAATCAGATCTTATAAATCCTCTTCAGAATTAAGCTTGTTTACATCTTTATGTAATACATAATAATTTAGATTTTCTTGAATTTCATGCAAATAATGTACGCAGTATAATTAAAAAATGCACAGTCACAGAAAAGTGTGGTCAAGTTGTAGTGTTTAATTTAATTTTACTATCTTTTTATGATACCAGGCCTAATTTGTACCGTGGCTATCTATATATCTACAAGTACCCACGTAAAGTCGTCGACAGGTTGGACTAACTCAGCGCGTTGCGTTTCGAAACTTAAGGTTTTCTTTTAAAGAACAACGAAAGGAAGAACTGCAACCCAAACTTGGTCAGAATAGATAAGAATTAGGCGATAGAGAGGTAACTTTTAGGTGAATATAAATTCAGGTGATTAGCGCTGAGTAACCTGAATTGATATTTATTGTGTAAGAGATAAAGTCGCTATTAATTTGAATGATTACACTTAGTAGTTATGTAATTTATTAAGTCCAATTAGAGTAAAATACGATGCCACCACGATACAAATATTTAGGTGAAATTCTTAATTTTTTATACAAAAATCCTCTTTTAAATTAAAATATTAAACTTTAAAAATCATAATACGCATGACTCCTATATACGACCACACCTCTCTATTAAACCTTGCATGCACACTTTGTATATAGAAAAAAATATTATTAAGCAAACAGCATGCCGTAACAGGTGGTAACACTAACCGCCAATGCCTGTTCCATCCAGTAGCAAAGAGTAACATCATTTTATTAATAAATATAACAAGTACATGGAAATAAAATTGTTATATTTCTGCTTCTTTTTACCAATCTAGGTTGAGATCGACTTTAAGTCTACCACGATATGGCTGAACTTTGACTTTTTACCAGGAGCGACTGTCATCAGAACGCCACAACCCAAGTACTGGGCGATATCGAAATTCCACAGAAAGACTATTGTTTGACTTTTTAGGGCTCCAACTACCCGTAACGATTTTATTTTTTTTCTTTTTTAAAAGACAACTCCCGCACTAGGAATAAATCCTGTGTCGCGGGGGACTTTACAAACATACATGAAACGGACACAAAGTACACCCAGACTCAGAACAACAATTTGTGGATCACACAAAGTGTTATCCCATGTGGGGATTGAACCCACAACACTCGGCGCAATAGACAGCGGCGTGGCGACCGCTTAAACCACTACGCCATCCGTGCATGCAATGCAGTACGAGTAAATATGATGTACACCTAGTCTTCGTCATACAATTTCAACGCGGTCCACTCGTGTCTTGTGTCCTTCAGTATGAGAGAACATGGCGCGTTATTTTCATACATATTTTTAATCACAACAAGGAAATATGTTTACCCATATCGTCTGTTTCGCCTGGCGTGTGGAGGGGCATCTTCATTTCTAATGTCGTAACCGTAGATAGCCACCAGCTCTTCACGGGACTTGGGGGCCTGTTGACAACATTCATATCTTTGATTAAATTTGATTTAATATCAAACTGTACTTCTCTTAACACAACTTTTTGAATTAGTGAAAATGATTAACGCAAATGCGAACAAATATATTATAAAGTTATTAAATTCAAAGTTTATTTTTTAATTTATATAACTTAGTGGAATTTCATATATCTCTGGACTCAATACCAACCGCATTCTCTTCCAGTCAACCTTTGGGTGGTGTAGAAATCGTATAAGGCAGGCGCACACAAAATTATTAAGTGATCATTTGAAAATTTAATAATTTTATATGTAAAATAAATTTGTATTATTAATCTTAATTTTTACATTTTTAATACAAGAATCGTACTATATATAAAACATAGCAAGAACATGTTAATAACGACATAAAAAAAAGAAAGTATCATCGTATATACGTAGTTTTAAAAGTACGCCGTAAAATAGATTGCAGCTTTTTATTTGTAAACTAGCTGACCTGGCAAACGTTGTAATGCAAAACCAAAAAAAAAATAGTGATGGGTCACCCTTACCATTTAGGGGTATGAAAATTAGATGTTGGCCGATTCTCAGACCTACCCGATGTGCACACAAAATTTCATGAGAATCGGTCAAGCCGTTTCGGAGGAGTACGGGAACGAACATTGTGACACGAGAGTTTTATATATAAGATGAATTACATTCCAGGGTTTACATTCAAAAGGGTTGGCAGAGTCCTTCCTACATTTGATTCCAAGAACATTTATTTAACTTTATGCACAAGTTTATGCATCGGCGGACTTAATGCCTCAGGTATTCTCTACCAGGCTACCGATTGGACGATGCAGAGAAAGCATCATGAGATAGCTGCACTTAAAAGATGGCAATGGTGGCAGAAATTAAATACTGGCTAAATTTTGACTGGTCCGTGTGGTGACGGATTAAGAATACAAAGTGTCACCACCCCTATTCATCCCGTGGGTGTCGTAAGAGCCGACTAAGGGAAAAAACTAAGCAGGACAACAGCACTACAGAGAGAAGGAAAACTTGACACAAACCCTTTACCAACCCGTCTGGCCAGCGTGGTATAGTAGGCCAAAACCTCCTTTCTCAGGAGAGGCTTATGTCCAGCAGTGGACTATTAAAGGCTGTTGATGATGTTGGATTAGTGTTGGTAGTTGAGTTCGTAGGTTCTATTCCGACCCAGGATTAATATTTGTGTAATGACCACCATCATTTGTTCTGTATCAGGGTGTAATGTATCTATGATATGTTTGTATTTAAAAATATATAAGTATGTTTATCAGTAGTTTGGTTACCACAGGCCTTGTTTGGAACCTAACGGTCGTGTGTGACGTCAAAATATAAAAATACGCATAATATATACACATACATATCTACATAAACACATAGATATCGTCATCAAAGACTTAATACGTGGGTGTATTAAATATGTTACCTGTTCGTTCTCATTGAATTTGTCGTGCGACCACTTGTTGACAATGTCGGACTTGCGAGGCGGTCGACGTCGTTCGGCTACAGGTTCCCCACTCTCCTTCTTCTCTGAGGCAGCTTCTGATGTGGCATTACTCGATTCTTCACCGCTGTGAACATACGGCGGACATTATTATGCAGTCTAACCTCAAGCCCATTAGTCTGTGTCTTGTGATTTTATTTTCAAGATTTTGGTTTTTTTTAAATTGCCGGAATTTCATCATCATCATCAGCCTATCGCAGTCCACTGCCGAAATTAAGCCTAATTTAATTTTTATAGAACTTATATCCTTAATTTTTTTGTTTTTGTTTTATAATTTCCGTTACCAAAATTGTACTCAACAAACTGGTGGTTCCGTTACCAAAATTGTACTTAACAAACTGATGGTTACTAATAGCAAAAAGACAAATTTGTATTTTTTTTCTTTCTCGAATATTAAAAAAAAAACTATTACGTTTAGATTGCAGATGTGTTAAAAGCATGTACGTATTGTCTGTTATCTAACAAGGTATAATAGTCCAAGATAGTATCAAAATTAATAGAAAACACTTAGATGAATGAATTAATAGAACACACTTAGATAGATGAATGAGTATTAAGAATTAGCGTATAAACCGGCAAAAACTTCGCTTATATTTTCGGACTCTTTCCCTTTCAATTCGTGACTAACTATTGCTAACTGGACTTTGATTTGTGCTTGTAATACTGTTGAAGATGACGACCTATACGAACGAGGAATATTTCTATAAACAGCAGAAGCAGCATTCCTATAAGAGCAGGATACTACCCTATAATGAGGGAAAGGGATGTCCCCGAGTTGAGCTTCGGTAACCTTACTCCACTCGGTAAAAAGCAACGAAAGAGGAGCCTGTTGGTCTATTGGTCAGTAACCCTGACAGCCGGAGGTCGTGGGTTCAATTCCCACCTAAAACAAATATTGTGTGATGAGCACGATCATTTTTTCCGTGTCTGGGTGTAATTTATCTATAATATGTATGTATTTAGAAATATATAAGTATGTTTATCAGCAGGCTGGTTACCATAGTACAGGCTCTGTCTTGTATAGGATCAGACGGCTGTGTGATATATGTGTAACGCTGCTATTATTATTATATTGCATGCTAAGTATGTTTTGACGATCTGTATGTTTTATTTTATAGTGTAAGGGACGAGCAGACGGGTCAGTGGATGGCAAGCAACTAAAGCCGCACATGGACACGTCCAGCCCGAGAGTCACAAGTGAGTAACTGACCTTTTACCCTTCCCCCATAATGAGGGAAAGGGAAGTTTCATTTTTTTTTAAAGACAATTTGCCCTGTCTGCAGCTCGATATTTCACCGTAAAGTTTTTGTTCTAGAGATATTTTTATTTTAATACTTTTTTTTAGGAAAGCTCCTACACTAGGAATAAATCCTGAGTCGGGATTTTACAAACATACATGAAACGGACACAAAGAGCACCCAGACTCAGAACAACAATTTGTGGATCACAAAAGTGATGTCCCATGTGGGGATCGAAGCCACAACACTTGACGCAGTAGTAAGCGGCGAGACGATGTACAGTGTCTAATACTTATTATTTATTTAAATTAATACACAAGTTGTACACAGGCGGACTTAATGTCCAATGCATTCTCTGCTAGTCGACCTTCGGGTGAGGTAGGTGGTAGGTGCAAGAGAAAACAGTTAATTTGACTTTATTTATATATATTTTTTATTTAAGATAAATCTAACTTACATTATATTCACTATATGCTATAAATAAAATACTATATTACGTGATCGCGTGAATTCCTATGTTTGAACAAAATATGTTTTCTAATAGTTATATTTTTTTATCGCAAGGGTTCGGTTTTTACGTTCATATTGGAATGATAATTCCACTTTTTAAGTACAGAATCTCAAAATAACATGTATCAAAAGTTACTACTTAAACGAATTCATGTGCGTGCTTTACTTAAACGATAATGACCGACCTGTGCATTGAGCCGTAAATAGAAAGTTAATAATACGGTCCAAACTATCATATGTACACACGAAATCTGCCAAGGTCTATATAATTCGGCGAGGCCGAATTTCTCATACATTTTTTTGTGTTCGCAACACACGCATTCATTGAATGAGTTTGTATTCTTTAAAAGTATTGAAAACATGAACATTCCAACATTAATTTGGCCATCACATTACATCAACAGCCTTTAATAGTCCACTGATGGACATAGGCTTCTTCTTAGAAAGGAGGTTTAGGCCTACTATACCCCGCTCGTCTGACGGGTCGTATAGGGTTTGTTTCAAGTTTTCTTTCTCTTTGCAGTGCTGCTGTCCTGCGTAGTTAGCTCCCTGAGTCGGCTCTTACTACACCCAAGGGATGAATAAGGGTGGTGACACTGGTATTCTTAATCCGTCGCCACACGGACTGTATAAAACATCACTTTCCATCTTATTACGCTTTATTCTCAGTACTTCAGATAATAGCAGTTCTTTATATAATTTACTACCGTCTACCAAACTGAACAAGAATAGTAGGTAGTAAACTGGGGCATACGTTTAGTACTTCCTATTTTATATAATAAATACTCTAAAGTATCACCGACTTCCGTTAAATCATGATACTAAATGCTAAATGATGATTATCACTAAGCTGCATTTTCTATCTTTCTGTCCCTTTCATGTTTGTGAAGTTCCACAGGATATATACCTAGTGGTGGAGTTGTCCTAGAAGTGAACAATTTTCTTGGAATTTAAATATAAACTCCTTGAACACAATAAAAATAATGATTGAAATAGGTGGACAAATGATAAAGATATGTCTTAACTTGGATTGTCGAATTGAGAACCTCCTATATATATATAGGTATTTATTTATATACAGGGTTACTAGTTAAGTCGACCTAGATACTTTAGAGTTGTTGTTTACGTTGGAGTTGCTATCATAGCTGATAAATTTCACTATGAAATATCATTTCCTACCTAAACCTAACCATTTTCAAGATATTGGACTTTAAGATTTTTTATAAAAATTACCGAAATGGGGGCAAACGATCAGACGGATCACCTGAATGTGATTACCGCCGCTCATGGACGACGGTATGCCCCTCGTAATTAGCGATTGTTTGGGGGGGAGGAGGATTTACCTCCTCTAACCACACGAGAGTGAGTGCACTCAGTGAAAAGCAACAAAATACTTAATTGTTTAAAACAATTAATTTGTTGTAAACTTTTAAATAGACTAATTTTCTATACAAAAAGTAAATATTTAAATAGATTACAACGTTCAGTATTTAAATCGACATCTTAATATAAATTCACCATTAAGGAATAAAAGCCTTCCACTTCCCTTTTAAAATAACCCGTGATTGAAAAGGAATAAATGAAAAGGAATAAATAAATGGATGCTCTTGACCTGATTTGATATATTACTGTCTCCTTTCTTTCTACGTTACTAGTGATGGAAATTATTGCTACCTTTAAATCATAATCATTTGATGAAATGATTGGTTTTAGTCACTGCAATTTCACCTGTGATAAGTCACTTGTGATTTGGTCATAGACAATATAAATGCCATCAAAACTTAAGAAAATTTTCTTTTTATCGGACAACGACCTTTCTTTTTTACACGCTTTATATTAGTTTCACTTGTATGTTTGTTTGTAACCGACTCCTTTGGGCGTGATTTTGACTGACTTTAAACGGTCAGAATTCGTTCAAACTTTGTAGGTATATCGAGGACCGAGGGTTTTGAATAGACAGTATAGCTATGACATTAAAATAATCAGTAATTAATTATAAGGAAGTATCGTCCTCATCTTCTTCTGTATTCACTATTATACACAACATTCCTATGTTACAAGTATGCATTAGTATCTTTCAAATATCTTTTTCTTTCAAAAAGATACTAATAATATTTTCGATAACACTTTTACTAGCTGTTACTGAATATGCTCGTATCATTATCTCGTTAAAAAAATTAGATAATGTGGTCACAGCTGGCAGACAGATGTGATATATGTCTTTGTTGTAGCTATTTGTTATAGCTGGTCATTCTTTGACAGGAGGGTCGATTTCATACATACAGTGAGCCTTATTACCGTCCGGAGACCAGGCAGAAAGGACAGAATGTAATTAGCCACGTTTGCCATATTTATCAGGGCTTTCATACATGCTCGCCGGTCACGGGTGCTTTTAACGAGGCCCTTCTGCAGTATACTACCGATCTAGTCAGTGAGAATTTTTGGAGGCCTGCCCGTACCGCCTCGCCAAATCGCAGGGCCAGTTATAATGTTTTTCATGGTCACCAACATCGAACAACGGCAGAGTGGAACGTGATTGGCTATTTTGAGGTCGATTAACTAAGTAAAATTTGCAATGTTGGCAGAAATAAATCAACGAAAGGACAGGACAAAATAAGGCTTATAACCAGCTTTTTTTTCCGTGTGGTGACGGATTAAGAATACAGAGGGTCACTACCCCTATTCATCCCATTGGTGTCGTAAGAGCCGACTAAGGGAGCAAACTACGTAGGACAACAGCACTGCAAAGAGAAGGAAAACTTGAAGGAAACACCCTATACCAATCCGTTTGGCCAGAGGTAATAAGGAAGTTTTAAAACTGATTTTGAATAGAGGGAATAGTTTTTGTAAGGTTCGTGGTTCGGTCGTGAAGGTCGTAACTGTGAGAAGACTAAACTTGTGTCCTAGATATTTTTAAAATGTCAAAAATATTAAAATTCTTTAAACACAATACCTGGCTGCAGTACGGTCATCGTGCTCGTAAAAAGTCCCCCTTTTAGGTATATACTGAGGGTTACTCCTATCTTCGTCATCGTCTACTCGGCGCTCAGTTTCCTGAAAATAATAATGGACTCACGTTAATTTTTTAAAAGTTCCAGGTTCAGTTACAGAAAGGTATGATGATATTTAAAGGTCCTTTTTTTTACGTGTTTACCCCTGTGGACCGGCACCCCACTGCAAAGGGGTTTGCGGCAGGACGGTCTATCAAAATCGAACCGACTAAAACCACACGGTGTGCCACTCGCGCCTGGACCTCTTCTGGTCCAGGAACAGCTGTTTTTAAGACTTACGGACCCATGATATTTGAAGGCTCTATAACAGCCCCCGTAAATATCGCATAGCCATCTTTACATAGTGTAAAATAAAGTCGCTTTTTTTGTGTTGTACGCTCTTTTTAACTAAGTATCGGATTTTAGTGCGGTTTTCACCAATAGAGAGTGATTTAAGTGGAAGGTTTGTATGTATAATACATGCTTATTATAGAGAAAATCAAGAATTTCAAAGATTTGTTGTAAAAAATATGGTTTTGTGCGGTTACATGGCAAACGCTGGTTAAACCTTACGAGATAGACCAAAATAATGTATCACGGAATCGTATGTCTTAATAAGATCTACAAAAAAGTCCGCGATAGTATATGTGTATCTCCTAAGGATAACCCACAGTAACCATTTTTATCTTTTAAATATTATTAAATTAATATGGTTTATTTACGAAGCTATTTTAAACAATGCATTGTTATTCCTTATCCAATTCAATACGTTAGAAACTTTGCGCATTTAATGTTGATTGAAATTGCTGTTAACAGCACATCATTTAAATAAATGTTTTAGAGGTTATTAGAGATTTATATTGCGGGGGCCCAACAGCCGTGGTACGTCGGGGTATCAGGGTTTTCCTTCCTAGGGTACACCTGATTCCCTGGCAACTGGTACCCGAGACGGCGTGCGGTTTTTGGTCGGTTCGAGTCCGACATAACCACCGGTGGGTGGTATCCCAGGGAGAATTCCGCACAGGAAAAAAAAGGGGGCCCAACAGCCGTGGAGCCGTGCGTCCGTCCCGGGTGACAGCTGCAGGAAGGATCGGAGCGGGCATATAAATATTGCATTGAAAGATGTCCTGTAGTATAGTCCTATCATAATCTTATATATAAAATTCTCGTGTCACAATGTTAGTTACCATACTCCACCGAAACGACTGGACCGATTTTTATGAAATTTTGTGTGCACATCGGGTAGGTCTGAGAATCAATCTAAATTTTTCATACCCCTAAATGACAAGAGTGACCCACCCCTATTTTTTTTTTTCAATACTTCCTAGAAATAATGCATATGGCAAAACAACGTTTGCCGGGTCAGCTAGTAATAGTATAACTAATTACTCCACACTGACACCACACAGTAGTGTTAGTAGTATCTACATTGCAGCCGTGCGAAGCCGAGGCGGATCGCTATTAGAGTATAATCTCATAATCGTAAAAATTCTTGAATGTTGTTAGGCGTGAAAGTGTAACAAACAAACTCACTTTAACATGTCTAATATATACTAGTCTGTTTGTTACCTTGAAAATAACTAACTTTCTTAGAACCGTTCATCAATTAACGAACCCCCAAAAAATCCTTTCGTAATGGGTCTTTACAAAGAAAAAAGTAGCAACTGCCAAAATTTCTAGTTTGTAGCCCCAGCATTTCAGGTTCTGCGTTTATGAATCAGTCAATCAGGGCAAAAAAAAATTTATATGTATAAACCACGAGTACAGGGCTACATTTCAAATTAATATAATAACTTCATTAAATTATAAACTGCTAATATAATTCTGATTTCGGAATACATGACGCTCTTTCAGAATTTGAAAGGCCTCTTTCCTAACGATTCTTCAATGCCAGAATAAAAAAAAATATACATTTTAAAATTTTCATTTTTAACATCTCTGTATTATGTTTATAGAACAAGTTGTATTTATATTGTTATAGCCTTGGTAACGTAACTTACTTTTAAAAGGGTTTTTTAATGTTATAAAGAACAAACGAGCAGTTGGGTCACCTGGGTAAGCGACTATCGCCGCCCAAGGAACTTTTTACTGAAGAGACATAAGTGTGTTGCAGCCCAAGGATCAAAGGGGGGATTGTGCTCTGAAAACCTAACTCACTCGGTGAAAAACCACCAAAGAAACAGCGGTTTTCTGGAGGCCAATTCATCATTCGGTTCGAGTCGGTCGAGTGCCGAAGCATGACCTTCCTGTGATAATGTGATGGACATTTAAGATTTTTTTTAAAGACAACTTCCAACTTCGGGAACTTTACAAATACTTATACATGAAACGCACACAAAGAACATCCAGACTCAGAACAACTATTTGTGGATCACACAAGTGTTGTCCTATGGGATATCGATTCCACAACATTTAGCGCAGTAGGAAGCGGCGAGGTGACCGTTTAAACAACCGTACAGTCAAATTAATTGTATTGAATCAATTATATTGTTCCTACAACTTTATGATTAAAAATTTATAATTAATCGGACACGATTTAATTTTATCATAATTAAAATTTTACAAATGCTTGATGCTTTACATCAAATGCAATAATTTAAAAATTTCGTAATTTTTAATCGTGACCGCTGCAATTAACAATTAATTAATCGTTGATAATTGTAACTATGAAATTATGACCACAATTGATAATTGTTAATGAATTTTTGCAATTGGAAAAAAGGTATTTATATAAAATATATTTTTTATTTTTATACATTAAGATGTTATTGTATCCACATCACATCAACAGCCTAAAACAGTCCACTGCTGGACATAGGGATCTCCTTAGAAAGGGGTTATTGTATACATATACTAAATACGTAAATATATATATAAAAAAAAAAAAAACAGTGTCGAACGGAATAAATAGTATCCTATGTCCGTCTCCTGGCTCTAAGCAATTTCCCCACCAATTTTCAGCCAGATCGATAAAGCCGTTCTTGTGTTATAAATAGTGTAACTAACACGACTTTCTTTTATATATATATGTATAACCATATATTATGCTTATCATCGTATATGGTAATCACAAGCCCAATTAATTTGAATAGTTTCGTGTGAACGGATAAAATTAATAAATCTTAATTTAAATAAATTAATAGTGAAGTAAATGTGTAAATGTGATTTATATTAATCACAATATTAAATTAATGGCAAATTACTTTTTGACAGGCCCGTTGGTCTAGTGGTTAGCCAACATGACTGCTGAGCCAGAGGTTCGACTCCCACCCAGGACAAATAATTGTGTGATGAGCACGATCATTTGTTCTGTGTCTGGGTGTAATTTACCCATAATTTGTATGTGTTTAGAAATGTATGTTCATCAGCAGTCTTTCAATATATCTTTTCTCTTCAATGAAGAGAGAGAGACATGGGGCTTGAAATAAGGGGCAAAGCATACGAGTGCCCGTTTGCCTCTATATCATCTATATTATGATCACCTTTATAAGGAAAGTAAATAATATAATGGAAAGTGACTTCCGAGGTCCATATACGCCTGCAAGTCAGGAATCACAGACGCGTGGCTAGCCTTTGAGGTGGGAGAATTGACTTGTGTGATAAGCACTATCATTTGTTGTGTCTGGGTGTAATCTATATACCACTAGCTTTGGGTTTCGCCCGCGTGTATGTCGGTTATTGTGGTGAAAAGAAGCCTAATCAAAGTATCTGCATACCAATTCGACTGCACGGATGGCGTAGTGGTTTAAACGGTTAAAATTGTTTCGATTCACAAATTATTGTTCTGAGACTAGGTGTTCTTTGTGTCCGTTTCATTTATGTTTGTAAATTCACCCGCGACACAGGAAATATTCCTAGTGCGAAAAATTTTTAAAAAGAAAAAAAAATCATCTAGGTTGATTCCCCATAAAAAGTTCCACCCCCTTTTCAAGGCCTTAAAAGGATGATTTCTAGGATAAAACTACCCTATGCCCCTTCCTGGGACTCGGACTACCTATATACCAAATTTCATCTCAAACCGTTCCGCTGTTTAAGCATGAAGAGGTAACAGACAGACAGACACACTTTCCCATTTATAATATTAATATAGATGTTTGTATTTAGAAATATACGAGTATTTATCAGCAGTCAGGTAATCTGGTTACCATAGTGCAAACGCTGCCTGGTTTAGTTAGACGTGACGTTTAGTATCGTGTGTGAGATGTGTCAAGATATTTTTACATTATTTTCATTTATTTTTTTATTTTATTAGATTTAGAATATGTAAAACAGAATTAAGAAGCGTATTAATATTTCAAAAATATAGCAGTGTTTAATAAAGTATTCATTTAGTTTAAAATTTACACAAGCCTTTCTTCTACTCCTTTTTAATTAACACATATACTGTTTTAAATTAATATAAATAATTATTTTGTAATTTAAATAACTTTCCTCTGTTTTTGACTCTCAATTAATAAATATTTAGTACTTAAATATGATTAGAAAGTTTGTATAATTTTTATTTAGAGATCACCAAAATCTTATTACGTCTAAGTATCATAACACATTAGTAATTAGTTAAATAATTCAATAAGAATAATAATATTTTTGGACATATAACACCCAACGCCATCTAGTTTGAAACTAAGCAGAGCTTATACCATGAAAACTAGATCGGACATATAACACCCAACGCCATCTAGTTTGAAACTAAGCAGACCTTATACTATGAAAGCTAGATTGACTGATAGAATACTTTTATACTTTTTTTGTCAATACATTATTATATATACAAAACACCCAAACTCCGAAACAAATATTTGCAGATAATACAAACATTTGGTCCGACTCGGGAACCGAACACGAGATTCCAGCACATACGCTACTGATGCACCACAGAGGCAGTATGTGACACATAGTGATAGCTCACGAGCAACAATCACGCGAAAATCTGCCCAATTTAAATTACAATTGGAAGGAAGATTCCGTTCTGTCGACTGATTGCACAAAACGAATTAACATAGCGGAAAGGATGCAGGAGAGTACAATACATATAATCATCACTATCAACAGCCTTTAATAGTG